GCTATCAGTGAAGTTATTGAGTCTGACCACCTGATCCATTTTGTTGCCTCTTGCTTATTAATAAGCACAGGTTGCTGGGGACTTCTGTTCTTACCTATAATCCCCATGTAGTCGTTTAAATAAAAACTCATTGTCCGGTCCAGACAATCCAGTCCAAAACAATCAAGTCTGGCCCAGACAATCCAATCCTCCAGCTTGTGATATAAAACCTAACACGGGACGCATAAAACCCCATGTACCCCGAGTCCGAGGACCAGACAGTCCAGTTCGAGACATAATCAAGTCTGGCTCAGACAATCAAATTTTAACCTGCTCATGGAATAAAACCTAACGCAGGACGCATAAAACCCCATGTACCCCTTGTGATCCTGCTACAATTTATAATATAGCCAATATGCCTGGGATATCATATAAAATCTGGGGATATTATAACATTCCTGTGTATGAGATTTAAGCCGACTGGAGAACAATAGGATGATGTTACTGGAGGTTTATAAAGCCAGGAAGAAGCCAGAGATTAGCACCCATTTAAAGTCTTATGCATGTAGTTGTTCTGTTACTTGTGTACTTGTTTTAGACATGTGATGACAATCTAATGATATCAGTGTAGGGTTACAGTGACCTACTTTCAGTGAGAAGCATATGCTGCATATGCCACCAACTGGTTTATATTACTGGATAACCCTTTGAAATGTTCTTGAAATACTTTGCCACTGATATTGTAGCTTGTATTCGCTCTCAAGGTCATACCTCCATGTATTATGTTGATAATAACTAACATTCTTGTGCTTGTGGGTTTCAGCACAGTCTCATTTGTTGATCTACAACCTGTTCAGTTTGGTCATGTTTGAATTCCACCAACATTAACAAAATGATTAAGTTTTCATGAAGGGTTTAGAATGCAAGTTAAGCTAATGCCACATTTTTGCAGTAAGAATTTATAAATCAGTCATTTTCCTGAAGTCAAAAGGCAACAGCTAACCTTTTATGATATTTTCAACTTTTGATGACGTTGATAGAATATTCTTATCTATTGTTACCATATTTGAACATTTTCTTCATCACATTTTGGATGACAGACAGTCCTGGAAAATGAAATGATTTGAAGCCTTGGTTCTACGTTCTCACTATCAACCAGGTATTAATGCACACCTCCATTGACAAAACCAAGCAGCGTTAGAAACTGGCACTAGTCCTGTAGTTCTTGCCAAACTGCCCAATAGTTTAGGTATCATAAAGACTAGTAGAAATTTGTAAAGGTTTTGCTATATATGATTATAAAAGTATAAGGACTAGTGGACAAAAGTAGTCATTCACTATTGCTGCCAAAATTGAGATGAAATCCCAGCCAACAGTATGATGATTGCTGTCTGAAGGATCATGTCATATGTTGAACAGCTGTTGCCTTGATCTCCAATGAATTGAGTAGGCTCTGCTGGTTGATTACCAGTAACCTGACTCACTGCTCTGTAATACATGCAGTAGACAGTCAATGCTGGAGGCTTTGGTTACCAGTCAGACGAAGCTGTGTACATCAGGTGTGTGTTTTAACTGCAGGCAGTGGTGGAGCAGAGTGAGTTAAGCAGTTGTTCAGTTATATCAAGTCAGTATTTCAGTTATATCAAGGCAGTATTTCAGGTATATCATTGCTGTACTTCAGGTATATCAAGTCAGTATTTCAGTTATATCATTGCTGTACTTCAGGTATATCAAGTCAGTATTTCAGTGATATCATGGCTGTACTTTAGTTATTTCATGGCTGTACTTCAGTTATTTCATGGCTGTACTTCAGTTATTTCATGGCAGTACTTCAGTTATATCAAGGTAGTATTTCAGTTATATCATGGCTGTACTTTAGTTATTTCATGGCAGTACTTCAGTTATATCAAGGCAGTTACAATATAATTTCAGTTATATCATGGCTGTACTTTAGTTATTTCATGGCAGTACTTCAGTTATATCAAGGCAGTATTTCAGTTATATCATGGCTGTACTTTAGTTATTTCATGGCAGTACTTCAGTTATATCAAGGTAGTTACAATATAATTTCAGTTATATTATGGCTGTACTTTAGTTATTTCATGGCAGTACTTCAGTTGTATATATATACAAGGCCGTATTTCAATTATATCAAGGAAGTATTTCAGTCATATCATGGCGTATCTGCTTGTTTCTGGAGGAAAGACCATAGTGATGCAGGTCATTGACATATTCCCACAGTTATTGTGCTGACAAACCTAGAATCATTTAATCAGGACAAAACTGCTGTATTGGTCATTGCCATTGCCAGGTAATTGACACAGATTCTGTTTCAACAAATATGATAAATAAAATGCCTCCTTCCTCACCTGAAAAAAATGATGGATGAAATGTTGATAATTAATCTAGAGTGGCATTGTTTTATACATACTCTCAATATTCATATTTCACAATATGCCAGAAATATTTGTAATATTATGAAAACCTGACTTGCATCTTTTAAATGGTAGTGGTTCTATACTTAGCTATGAATGGAGGGTAGGCTCGAAAACCATTAGTCAAATGTCATTTTATTTTTGTTCTAATTTCCGTCTTTTTTTGTGTCGGCCAGTTTTGGTAATCAACTTGGAAGGCCTAATGTCACGGGCAATATTAAATAGTAGGCAAGACAAGTGTGGACATTAGACACGTTAACCCCAAAATAGTATCACTACATTCCTGGGAGCTTCATGAGACTATATGGTGGCATGTTTGTAAAAGAAGATCCTTTAAATGCTCAGCATAGCTTAGACTAACATGTAGTCTCTGAAATCTTATATTACACAATATCCTTCTTGACTCTAAAAATAAAAAAAAATTCCCTATGCTGATTTCTGTGGAATAGAGCTGGCTTGAGCTGGCTAGACTTGCTTTTGTATGCATTTCTAGATTTTGTTTTTTCATAAAATAAATATATTCCACGGTCATGGTGCAGGACTAAGCATAGCTGTACACAGCAAAACAAGCCAAAGGGAGGTATTGATCAGAGAGTGTTGCCAGAGCTCTGCACATGTACCTTTCTCTTGTATCAACGGTTTGGCCCCGTGGGTGGTCCAGATTCATGTTGACCAGATAAATCTCCACACATGCGCAAGCTTAGACTCATAAACGCTTAGTATCTGATAATATATTTAAATTGAAAAGGAGCCCTGGTGAGAAGGGAGAAACCTGTAAAAAATCTAGACTTGCTGCATTTTTGGTTATAGAAGTTTCACATAGAATTATTTATGAAACCTTATGCATATCTTTTCTAAAAATGTATGCATAACTTTCTAATAATTTAATAGACTATATGAAAGTATCAAGTCTTTGAATGGCATTTAGAAGTAAGACATATTTAGGAAGGGGATGTCAACTTCTTTATTATGAGGAACACAACATTTCGGAGTATATTTGGAGTATCATTCACCTGATGAAGGAGTAAGTATATACTCCGAAACGTGTTCCTCACAGAGCTCCAGATAAGCTTTTGGTGTTGTGGGTATTTTACCCATGCATTTTAAAATCATTGGGTATCAATAATTCTATCTGGGTATTCAAATTTCTGTTACCCACAAGTTTTTACACATGTGGGTATTAAAGTTAAATATTTAAAAACACTATTCATCTAGCATGTCTAGTACCTGCAATCTTGTCGTGTGGGTTCGAGAGCTTTATGGGACTCAAACATACCGCGATAGTTCCACAAGAAAGTGTGATGGCAAATGATCATGATGTAACTGTCATCGTGGAGTTTGGCAAGGTTGACGGAATGTCCGTATATAATTTCAAAATAAGTTGCTGATTTGCTAATCAAATACGCAGGGTTACTTCACAATATTTTGATGATATGCACTAGTCTTATTTTTGTAGTGTATCTGTAATGTTCGTTGCGTATTTGATACGCTTGAATTTTATTTTACTGCGTTTTTCTGCATTTCTGATGCATATTTTACGCAGATACGCAGCTTATCTGGAGCTCTGCCTCATAATAAAGAAGTTGACATCCATAAATTCCCCTTCCTTATATGAAAGTATGCTTTAACAGAGACTATATGTAAGTATACGTAAGTCTCCCTGGTATCATCTCCATCATTAGGGCTGTCCATCTTCAGTGTGTGAGGGAGTGAGTCGTTATTGCTTAGCACCATATCAGCAATTGCAGCTATTTAGCAGAAAGGTTCAGCTTCAGTGGGTTTGCTGTGATGGAATGTTGACATGCTCTCTGCCCATGCACAACTGTGAGGCATACCCCCTGTTTCCCTGGTGTACAGCATAGCATGTGTGTCGTCTGCATTCTGTAGGTCAACTGTTGTGTAATGTTGATCTCAGATACCTCTCCACACGCACACATGCACGCACGCACGCACGCACGCACGCACACACACACACACACACACACACACACACACACACACACACAGACAGACAGACACATCCACACACACATCCACACACATATCAGCAATTGCAGCTATTTAGCGGAAAGGTTCAGCTTCAGTGGGTTTGCTGTGATGGAATGTTGACATGCTCTCTGCCCATGCACAACTGTGAGGCATACCCCCTGTCTCCCTGGTGTACAGCATAGCATGTGTGTTGTCTGCATTCTGTAGGTCAACTGTTGTGTAATGTTGATCTCAGATACCTCTCCGCACACACGCACGCACGCATGCACGCACGCACACACACAGACACACACACAGACACACACACACACACACGCATGTAATATTACATCATTTGTGGATACCAACATCGGTGTAATCCAGTCATGTTGACCTATATGTAGCAGTTTTAGAAATTACAATCCTATCACATATAGGGATCTCCTAAATTGATTATCATCATTACCACGACTTGCAACTTACAACTTAGCTTAACATACAACCTTAATTTGACCACTGTTGTCAATGTCTGTTGAGTGACACAAGCAGATCTCATCAGCTGGTTGTTCACAGATTATAAGGTCACTGACTGCACCACATGCGAACTTCCCAGTGGTTGACTGAACCACATCCAGGCAGTGAGCAGTGATAGGGTGGTTGTAGGCTGTAGCTGCCTTGTGGCCTGGGCTTTAGTGTTTGTGAGAGGAGTGACGACTGATCAGAAGCAGGTGGGTTAGTGATCTATCTGCTGCAGTGTTGGACTGGTACTCGGTGCTGTATTCCCACCAGCCTCCTGGTTTAAGGATCAAGTTCCACCTGACCAGCTTCTGCTGCAACTGTGGATGTAAACTGACAGTTTCACATCCATGCTGTAACATGTATGTAGCTTCCTTGTGGGTGTTTTTAGGTGACTGGGGATAGCTTTATACCACATGTGCACGATCAATTTTAATGATTAATAGATAATATATGTAATGTGTCGTATCATGGAGAAATACCCATTTGATTTTTCCAGTCACAGGACCGTGTAACTAATGATAATAATAAGAAAACTCGCGAAATACTTGCAGACGAGAGCGAAGGCAGGTGCAGATGGAAGGGGTGATGTGTTTGCAATCAGGATGGATGAACAACATTTGGATGGAAGGAGTACTTCTAGCTGTGGTATATCTACCCCTGTGGGGGTTGCAAGGGGGAATAGGACCAAAGTTTGCCATGCCAAATATTTCTGACTTTAGTACCATAGGGCACAGGACCATGTTGCTGAGCCACTCATAACAAACAACCACGCAAAAAACTCGCAGACGAGGCCGAAGGCCAGGCTCTCAGCCTCGTCTGCGAGTTTGTTTGTTATTATTATTAGTTACATGGTCCTGTGCAAAGGGGAATTAGTTTAGAAATAAAAGTCCTGCAGAAAATTGTTTGGTTCCTATTTTCGACACAAAAAGGATGGTATTAACATCAACACTTTCTATGTAAATATGTATGAAGCCCCTGAAAATTAAGGTTTTAGAAAGAATGCAAATCTTGTCTTGCAACTATAATGTTGTACCATGAGACTATTAATAGATACTACCCAAACTCTGAATCATGATATCGCATTATAAACGTGTTTTCCTTGCATCACTGTGTAAAGTCTTGATGTATGAACAGTTTGATCTTCTAATCAGGGCTTTACCCTCTTACAAAACTGGGTTCCAGGGGTTTCCATTGTCCCACGTGGACAGTGGTCCTGATTGATGGATGAAATAACAGACACCCATAACGGCTCTTGTTGCACTGTAGGTACAAATAGATAATCTCACCCGAGTGTCTTTTGATATCAATTATATCAACACGTGTTGATAAAAGTCGAAAAATTCCAAGGATTGATTTTATTTATCATCCAACATCATTCTTCCAACTTTTTCAATTAGTAGACAGTAATTAGCAGTGTAAAAAAAAAGTGTCTTCAGTGTAAAAAGTACTGCCAACAGCTTCAGTAGCAGAGCCATTAGTGATGTCATTTGATTGTGACGACATGGTAACCAGTGACGTCACAATGGTCTAATCCAAGTGATATCTCCTGTGGGAGCCAGTTTTGGATGATAATGAATATTATTGTGCGCCCCTTGGGATGCAGTATTCTTTTTTATCCCCCGCCGCGCGAAAGCGCGAAGCGGGGGATATAGTATTCACGACCGTCCGTACGTCCGTCCGTACGTCCCACCTGTTTGTTGCCGCGATATCTCAAGAACTAAACACTGGATTGTCTTCATATTTGGAACTATGGTGTATATACAGACCCCGCAGACACCAGTCGGTTTTGGTGACCTTGACCCCATTTTCAAGGTCACAGCAGGCATATCTGCTTTTGGAGTTGGAAAACGGTGTTGCCGCGATATCTCAAGAACTAAACACTGGATTGTCTTCATATTTGGAACTATGGTGTATATACAGACTCCGCAGACACCAGTCGGTTTTGGTGACCTTGATCCCATTTTCAAGGTCACAGCAGACAAATCTGCTTTTAGAGTTGGAAAACGGTGTTGCCGTGATATCTCAAGAACTAAACACTGGATTGTCTTCATATTTGGAACTATGGTGTATATACAGGCTCCGCAGACACCAGTCGGTTTTGGTGACCTTGATCCCATTTTCAAGGTCACAGCAGACAAATCTGCTTTTGGAGTTGGAAAACGGTGTTGCCGCGATATCTCAAGAACTAAACACTGGATTGTCTTCATATTTGGAACTATGGTGTATATACAGACTCCGCAGACACCAGTCGGTTTTGGTGACCTTGATCCCATTTTCAAGGTCACAGCAGACAAATCTGCTTTTGGAGTTGGAAGACGGTGTTGCCGCGATATCTCAAGAACTAAACACTGGATTGTCTTCATATTTGGAACTATGGTGTATATACAGACACCGCAGACACCAGTCGGTTTTGGTGACCTTGACCCCATTTTCAAGGTCACAGCAGGCAAATCTGCTTTTGGAGTTAGAAAACGGTGTTGCCGCGATATCTCAAGAACTAATCGCTGGATTGTCTTCATATTTGGAACTATAGTGTATATACAGACACCGCATACACCTGTCAGATTTGGTGACCTTGACCCCATTTTCAAGGTCACAGCAGGCAAATCTGTTTTTGGAGTTGGAAAACGGTGTTGCCACAATATCTCAAGAACTAATCGCTGGATTGTCTTCATATTTGGTACTATGGTGTACAGGCGGGGGATATTTCGTCACTCTGTGACAAATACTTGTTCCGTCCATTTTCTGCATCTGTGCACACATTTGTGTGTTGCATAAAACTCTGTCCTAATATCTTTCTTAAAAAATGATTTATCTAGAATTCCAAACTCTATGTCCTTATCAGGTAGATAAGAAGAAAATAGTTATTTATTTCAGAGGTATTTTCACATCACACTGAAACACTGTGTTCAATGATTGACATACTAGTATTATAAAACCATGCATTCAGTGTCTTCCTCTTCTTTGGTCCAATTATCACGGTGATTAGTAAGTACAAATCACTTCTACAAAGCATAAGTTATTACTATAAATAATAGCATGAACTGAGAATCATTTAGTTCTTATTTGGGAATTTTGGCTGATATTTGCTGCGGACTTTGGTCCAAATATCGGCCTATCTCAGCCCCTGGTGTAGACACATACTAGTCCTGCACCATGACTGTGGAATATATTTATTTAATGAAAAATAAACCAATCTAGATACGTATACAAAAGCTCTAGCTAGCTCTATGAAATTAGCATCAGGAAAGTTATATGTTTATTTCTAGAGTTGAGGAGGGTATTGTGTTATACAGGATTTCATAGACTAAATGTTAGTCTAGACACATCCCTGTCTTGTGTTGTGCAGAAACTACCAGCCATGAGTGTCGTTGTGGCTCAGTAGTGTGAGTTACAGAAACACAACCGTGGCCTTACAGTGGTCGTTACACAGCCGATTTTAGCTCGTTGTTTGATGACAGCCCTCATCACCATTCACTAGCTGCTTTGTGGGGGTCCCGGGGGCGACTTGCCTATCATCATAACATGGAGCATTTCATTAATGCACTAAAATTCTTTCAGTTTGGACCAAGTATGCAAAAGTGTGTCCTGAATCCAGTGTAGTAGTTAATGGATTTGCAAGTCCTTTTTTTAAGATATCAAGAGGCTGTCGTCAAGGTGACCCAGTCGGCATATATTTTTAAAATTTGTGCTGAAATTTTGGCAGTTATGACAAGAAGTAATTCTTAAATGAAAGGAATTAAGATAGGAAAAAATTGAACACTTGCTGTCACAATTTGCAGATGACACATCACTAAGTTTGGATGGAACAAAAAAAGGCCTTTATGCTGTATTGCACACATTGCAGTTTTTTGCTAGATTTTCTAATTACATTACACATTACAAAGTTTAAACTATTAGGAATAGACTTTGATGTTGATTTAGATAATATTATTGTGGAGGATACTTATAAAATAAGGCTTGAAATAATTGAGAGAGAAATGATCCTATGGATGGTAATGATCCTATGGACGGTAAATGTTTTTACTCCAATAGGAAGAAATATAGTTCTAAAAAGCCTCTTATTGTCAAAACTGAATTATGTTTTTTCATCCATACCCAATCCTCCAAAAGATGTGATAGATACTTTTCAGAAAAGATATTTTTAGATTTGTATGGAAGGGGAAACCGGATAAAGTGAAAAGAAAAATAATGTCTGAACCTTCAAAACATGGCGGAATTAACATGCCAATTAGGATGTGATTGTAGTACAAAAACTTTCATGGATCAAAATATTATATGGTAATCACTCAAAATGGACTGAGTTAGTTTCTTGCTGTATTCCAAATAGAGGGAGATTATGGTTGGCACTTGCCTCCTATGTTGTTGTAGTTATTACTGCAAATACCATGAGGCCCGTGAAGATCCGGGGTAGAATAGGTCTTCACCAACCCATGCTTGTGACTATGCTTGTCGTAAGAAGCGACTGATGGGATCGGATGGTCAATTGTGTGGATCGATGCTCATGATATTAATCACTGGATTATCTGGTCAGACTTGATTATTTACCGACTGCCGTTATATAGCTGGAATATTGCTGAGTGTGGCGTTAAACAACAAACCAACCAACCAACTAACCAAATACCATGAATTTATTTTTGAAGGATGTTTTGGAAGCTTAATGGGCAACATATTTGACAACAAAGAAACTGGAAACTGGTCAAGCTATTATTAGACACTCTATATGGTTTAAAAGCAGGATGCAAATAGGAAATAGTCCAAACTTTTATAAACATTGGTCAAGCAGAGGTGTAACCTTCATTGGGGATTTAGTTGATGACAAAGGTGAAATTTATATATTTGATGCTTTTGTGCATATGTATGGAATTGAAGAAAAAAATAATAGAATTATTGTGCAGTTGTTAATGCAGTCAAACAATTTTGTAAGGTAGATGAACATATTGTGTTCAATTCTATATCTCCTGGACCAACCTTATCACTCAATATATCATATCTGCTAAACCAAAATATAGATAGTACAGAATTTTACAGGACTTAATCAGCGCCAAAGTTTGTTAAATTTCATGGCATTGAAAATTGGAAAGTTTACTAAATAAGACATTTTTTAGTGAAACAGATTGGCAAGAACATATTGATGCCAAAAAGATGTACTCAAAGTGAAGATATTAGATGGTTTCAGTTTAAGATTATTCCTTACAACTAACAAATATTTATATGAAATTGGATATGTTGATTCTCCTTTGTGTATTTTCTGTACAAATCAACCTGAAACTATAATCCATATGTTGTATGATTGTGAACATGTAAGAAAGATTTGGGAGAAACTGTACATTTGGATAAAAAACGTTGTGGAAGGAACAACAGATTTGAACAGAGAAAATGTTTTATTTAGATTTCAAGGCAAACATTACAACCCATTGAATAACAAAACAAGTAATATCCAGACAATGTAGGAAAAAATGAATTTCCACATTTTAAACAAATACAGCGATTAGTTATTGCAATGCTACAAAGGTAATGACATTTACAAATTGTAACTATGCGACCTATTTTAGTTCTAGTCTTCCTTCCACACTTTGTTTAAAAACCAATCTGCAAACATAGTTATACATATTGAAACTATATAAAGAGCTGCACAGAAGTGGACAGGGATTCGAGAAAATATTTTGTTGCGCGTTTTCATGTTAATGATTCAAAAAGAAAAATAAGCGGTATGTAATTGTTGACTTTTTTATTTGTTTATATTTTTATAACAGTTACCAACTAGTACGTGCACTTTGCATAAATCTGCTGCGTGGATTTACACTGTGCACACCAGTATTAATTTGACATTCTGTGAGAAGACATATTGGCCAAATTTAGGTAATGTTCGTGGCTTGTTTGTGTTTTATATACTTACGATCATGTGATTTTATTTCAGAAATAAATTGCCAGAAACGTTAAAATACAAGGGGGCAAAGAGTCACTGTTCTTCTGGCAACTTGATCTGACGAGGAACTTGAATGGATTCAAAGTTTAGGTGAGTATTGATTAGGAGCACAATATATACCTCTCAGTGAATCTGGGGCACGGGTGGCCCAGTCGTCTTAGGCGCCATGATTCGCTGTGCAGAGTTGCATCCCTTGGGCACGCCAGAAACCTATGGTTGTGGGTTCGAATCCTGGTTCGCCCCGATTATGTTTCTAAGTTTGTCAGCACCATACCCGAGCTCATGGGTTTCACTGAAGTGGTGACCTGCTTCGCTTCGGGCTTTCCCCCTACATTAAGCTGACACGCCGCGATATAACTGGAATACTGTTAAAAGCGGCGTTAAACTCAACTCACTCACTCACTCTCAGTGAATCTCTTTGAAGAATATTATTGCCATACCAAAAAGTCATTACTGTCTATACTTTCTAATTTTGAACATTTGTTGGCAGAGGAATACATATTTAGGTCACCTTCCCTACGTGATGGTGGGAATATGTCATAACAGTATTATTTCCTGTCCATTGGCGTCCCATTAACTCCTTTAACTATGAACCGGGAGATCAGCTAAATTGTGCTGAATATCAAGTGAACAGGTACATTTATTAAGGAGGAAAGCCTTGTGTAAAGGTTAACCACAACTTTACTGTATCTCATTTTGAGAATAATGTAGACACCTATCACGCTTCATGAAAAGTTAAAAGTCAAAATACTGGTTTAGAGTAAAAAACAGTTCTGTTTTAAAAGGTTACCATATTTGAAATGTTTTGAACCATTGAAATAACCTTTGTTGTTGCTCTACATTTCCAGCCTTGTCCCGAAGGTGATCAATGGCAGTATTGCGGGTATTGTAGGTGTGACATGTGTGTTCCCCATCGACCTCGTCAAGACTCGGCTGCAGAACCAGCAACCTGGGCCTAATGGGGAGCTGCTCTACAAAAACCTGTAAGTCAAGCTTGTCAGACTGGACTTGTAGCCTCCACCATTGATGGAGGCTGAAAATGTAGCCTCCACCATTGATGGAGCCTGGATAGGTAGCCTCCACCATTGACAGGGGCTGAACATGTAGTCTCCACCATTGATGGAGGCTGAACATGTAGCCTCCACCATTGATGGAGCCTGGATATGTAGCCTCCACCATTGATGGAGGCTGAACATGTAGTCTCCACCATTGATGGAGCCTGGATATGCAGCCTCCACCATTGATGGAGCCTGGATAGGTAGCCTCCACCATTGATGGAGGCTGAACATGTAGCCTCCACCATTGATGGAGGCTGAACATGTAGCCTCCACCATTGATGGAGGCTGAACATGTAGCCTCCACCATTGATGGAGGCTGAACATGTAGCCTCCACCATTGATGGAGCCTGGATATGTAGCCTCCACCATTGATGGAGCCTGGATATGTAGCCTCCACCATCGATGGAGGCTTGAAGCATGTCATCGATCCCAATTGCGTGGAACTCGATTATTTACAGACCCCTGTCATATAGCTGGAATATTGCTGAGTGCAACAAACCAACCAACCAATATGTAGCCTCTGCCATTGATGGAGCCTGGATAGGTAGCCTCCACCATTGATGGAGGCTGAATATGTAGCCTCTGCCATTGATGGAGCCTGAACATTGAGCCTATGACTACTTGTGTTGTACAGTGATGCAGTGTCTTGTAATGCAATTTATCAAAAGCAACTGATAAAAATATTAATATAACAATATTTTTAATTTTGTGAATATATTCATAAAGGGAAATAAACTATTTAATTAAGTCAGCCAGTCCACAAAAGAACCACTTCTACAGTGCCTCTTGAAATATGTTTCCGTGCCTACATTAACTTGGTTGACAGGGACACACACCTGTGTCCAGCTGTTGCCTCCCACTGCATCTGTGAATGGACATGTTTGATGGACACATGTGATGCATGGCAGCATGTGGCAGTCGTCATTCAAGCATGTCCAAGTGATAGGCCATGTTATTGTCATAACAATAGAAATCTCATCAGACTGACTGATGCATCCCAATTATTTTCTAGCATTTAGAAATAGCTGTACTTCTGCTGTGGAAATGCTAACAGTTATTGTTCTTCAATGAACCTGAACTAATTAATATGAGAGCATTTGACAATATTGGTTTGTTGACATATGTTTAAAAGAACATAATAAATAACCAGTTAATCAGTAAAAATGAAGATTGTTAAGGTTACAAGACTGGGTACAGATGTGTGGTTTTATTGTAATATATATTTTAATTAATATGTATTGCAGGCATTTAAACAGGAATTGGTGGAACAACAATAATGTTTTTAAAAACATGAAAGCTGTCAATTCATTTGCAAAAACAAAACAAGACTATTTGATGACAAACATGATGATTATTAATAAACTATCACGACAGAATAAATAATCTTCATGGTTTTTTAATAAGTTCATGTAAAGGGTTTTTAAAGTCTCTTTCCAGCAGATGTTTTTTTCTATAATTTTTCAAACTTTATCCTTTAATTAACACAAAACCAAGTAGGACTCATATATTCCTGTTTACCATGGTAACAGTGTCATGTGTTTTTTCCAGTGTTGACTGTGGGTCGAAGACGTTTCGCAATGAGGGATTCTTTGGAATGTACAGGGGTGAGTATTTTCTGTAACTACAGGTCCTCAGGTGTTTTGCTCACTCACTCGATTATTTTGCTCACTCTGTGACTGTATCATAGCAACAGTTTTTATAACATATATTCACTATTCATCATGACATGGCCAACTTTTTCCACTAAAGGCTGGAAACATTCTGTTATGATTATGTGATTCTTGGCAGGGTTTTATATGATTCTTGTCAGGGTTTTAGAGGATTCTTGTAAGGGTTTTAGATTATTCTTGTCTGGGTTTTATATGATTCTTGTCAGGGTTTTAGATGATTCTTGTCTGGGTTTTAGATGATTCTTGTCTGGGTTTTATATGATTCATGTCAGGGTTTTAGATGATTCTTGTCTGGGTTTTAGATGATTCTTGTCTGGGTTTTATATGATTCATGTCAGGGTTTTAGATGATTCTTGTCTGGGTTTTAGATGATCCCTGACAGGGTTTAAGGTTATGAATCAGAAGAATGTCCAATCAAAAGTTGATGAAATGATGAAAATGTCCTATTGACAAGTTCCTTTAGCAAAATCCCTGCTTGTCAAAGATAAACCGCAGTGAAGAGGGTGCTGTGTGGGGAAGTAACTGTAATACCCTGGATTTTAGCAATATTCCAGCAATATCACGGCGGGGGACACCAGAAATGGGCTTCACACATTGTACCCATGTCGGGATTCGAACCCGGATCTTCGGCGTGACGAGCGAATGCTTTAACCACTAGGCTACCCGACCGCCACGTTTGTTGTATAGAGAATCTGTGTTTCAGGCTCGGGAGTGAACCTGCTGCTCATCACCCCAGAGAAGGCCATCAAGCTTGTCGGCAATGACTTCTTCCGACACAACCTGCGCACAGATAAGTGAGTATGGCATGCTAGCAACTAGTTGTCATGGAAACAAGTGCTAGAATCACAAATTAGTAAAATAGAGTTGAAATTTTAGGGAAAATGAAATATCTTGCAACAATTATCCTTGCAATGCTAGTGTGTTTCAATACGGTACTGAGGCAGTTAGTGTAGTGAGTGACACTAGGAATGTTATGACTCATTGAGTTATCTTGAAATACTGATAGAATATGTTGATACAATGAAGGATGAAGCGTGGTTTATTTCGCGATGAAACATTGTCCTGTCATGTCGTTATTTCTGGAGATTCGAACTTGCGCTTGCAAAATGATGACGTTATAAATTGGACAACATTATTTGTGAGAGGGAAGTGTCTTATGAGTTGTTCCCCATAGATGTAACTGGGCAACATAGAAAAACGCAATGCCTGAACGATCGCTTCCAAAAGTGGGAGAGATATGACAATCGGTATTAGGACACAAGGTACAGATAATTGTCGTGAAAATTGTGAGAATATGTAGGAAAGACCAAATTGACACCCCCCCCCCCCCCCCCCCCATTCACTAAATGGACTTGCCGCAGTCGAATTCTATTCAGGGAGTCATCATTATTTTGAATATATATAAAAATATTTTTAAAGCATGTACTTTTTGCAGGAAGAAAATTTAACTTGTGTATGGTTTTAATGATCAAGGGTACCGTATTTGACGTAATAAGTGCCCCGCTCTAATAAGAGTCCCCTATTTCTAGTTTTGAGAACGCCCTGGGTGCTTATTATGTCGAATATGGTATTACTAGAACTATATAAATGGGTATTACCACTGTTATTATGTCTTATTATCATGGCTTCTCATATAATATTATCTCATAAGGATGAAAACATGAACACAGGAAGCTGATAACAGAACTACTGAGGATAATATGATCCGTAATTCCCCCCTTTCTCTCCAATGACATCCATGCTGTTTGTTGTAGAGGGACACTTCCCCTCAGTCGGGAGCTGCTGGCGGGAGGAGGGGCAGGGATGTGTCAGATCATCGTCACAACGCCCATGGAGCTGCTCAAGATACAGCTGCAGGATGCAGGCCGTTCTGGTGAGTATGTAGTCTGTTGATGTGTTGTTTTAGTTCCAGCCTAGTGACTAAGTGAGTCGAACGTTAATTTTGACAGTATTTCCTGCGTGTCAGCTTGAAGTGATACATACATTAGGCATTACCTTGTTACAACATGAGCACTGTTATGGCGCTGGCTGACCTAGAAGCATAATTAGCGTGATGTGTGATTTGAACCCACAATCGCAGGTTCCAGCCTAGTGACTAAGCAAGTCTAACGTCAACTTTGACAGTATTTCCTGCGTGTCAGCTTGATGCTGGAGGAAGTGATGCAGGCCTTACTCATTTACCTCGTCACAACATGAGCACTGTTATGATGCTGGCTGACCTAGAAGCAATCTGTGATTCGAATCCACGATCATAGGTTTATGGTCTAATGGACACGACATACTTGATGTATCTAAGATGGTGACATTGAGCAGAGGTGTCTTCAGAAGAACGAGTCATCCACACTTAACTCTGCATATTGTTGACTATTCCAGCCAAAGTGGATCTGAGTGCCAATGGTGCTGTAGCAGGCAAGCCAGTCGCTGCTCCCCGACTCTCCGCAACGAAGATTGCCCTGGACCTGCTCCGACAACGAGGCATCATCGGCCTGTATCAAGGATGTGGAGCCACGGCTCTCCGAGATGTCACCTTCTCAGCCATCTACTTCCCCCTGTTTGCCCATCTCAATGCACTGGTAAGACTATCACACTGTGCTGGCTGCTGCTGCTGCTGACAGACTTCTGTGTGTGTTTTGTTGTGGGTGCTGGAGGTTGTGATGTTTGGAGAAGTCTGGGAGAGCTTAATGGTGCTGACTGTGATGGCTTCTAATAGAAATATCATGATGATTAACTAACAAACATAGCTGCATGTGTGCTTATAAAGTTGAAACAAGCCATTCCTTCCCATAAGGGATATTACTTACAGTAATGACAAAATGAGCTTTTTAAGAAATGTCTATTTTGCTAGCGATAAACATCGTCATTGAGTTTTGATCACATGATTACTATCCAGGTAAGCTTTGGCAGTCAGGTGATTATGTTCAGGCTATATTAAGCAGCTTGTGAAGTGTTTGTTTCATTACCAGTACGAAAGAACCGTTCCAGCGTTATTGACCAAGTTCACTGCTAAACTGCCGATTCTTACACGGATTGTAACCATGTGATCAAAACACAGTGATGATTGCAGCTCTGATTGTGTTGTGCAGGGCAAGCGTCGGGAGGGTAGCGGCGAGGCGGTGTTCTACGTGTCCTTTCTCTCAGGCTGTGCTGCTGGCTGTGTGGCCTCGCTGTCCGTCAACCCTTTCGATGGTGAGTGAGTGAGTGAGTGAGGAAATGGGAAAAACCACAGTCACCATTATTACAGCTACAGCGAACCTCATCAGCTGTGTTCTGGATGATTAGTTTAGGGAATGTGTATATGATACAATGACATTACATTTAGTTTGTTTATGGTTAACGCCACACTCAGAAAATATACCAGCTATATGATGGCGGCCCTTAAATAATCAAGTCTGGAGCAGACAATCCAGTCATTGACATCATGAGCGTCGATCTAAAAATTGAGATATGATGACATGCATCATCCAAGTCAGCCAGCCTCACAACTCAATTCCATTAGTTGTCGCTTACGACAAGCATGGGTTGCTGAAGACCAATTTTAACCTGAAATCTTCACAGGAATGGTGATCTACTATGTACCCATGATTCAGTAATCTGAATAATTTCAATAAGAACAGTACCATCAGATTGACAGGTTTCAGTGTATGACAGGAATATTCAGGATGACCTGTAAATCAACTTGTGGTTGGTAACACGATCAATGATCCATACAGTCATGTCATAAAATATGATATGTTAATACAGCTCAGCCGATAAGGTAATTAGACACAATGTTGAAGTACAGCTAGTCTACGACTGTATGATACACAAGCTTTATTGTGATGCTGGCTGTCTGCTTCTAGTTGTGAAGACGAGGCTACAGACATTACACAAAGGCAAGGGGGAGCAGTCATACTCTGGGATCATCGATTGTTTCAGGTGAGTTGTTTCCCCTGTGGATTAACTCTGTTGTCAATACGTACATGGTTACTCGTATTGCTAGTTCATGTGTTACACTGAGCTCATTCACTGAGAGTACCGTATATGACCGTAGATAAGCCGATCTCATAGTTAAGCCGAGGCATTAACTTGGTATTTGGAATCTGTATCAAAATGTGTATGTGCGGTACATAAGCTGGACCGCCAACCTAAAACTACGATGATCTGTCATCGGAAATAGGATATCAACAAATCTGTATTGAATTACACAAGTTAATCCTGTCGTTACAGTGTAACGGTTACCCTATCGGTAAAAAAACAATAAAGCATTGTGTGAAACTGAGGAGGGTCCTGTGTTTACTTAGGCCTTCATTGTATTTGAATGTAGGAACCCCTTAAATCTTTAACTTTTGACATAACAGTTAGAACAAGGACTCCTTAAAGTTTAAAATGTGTGACCAACCATGAGATAAGGGGACCTTATGGTTGAAAAATCACATTTTGGCTTTTTATCATATTTTAAAACTACAGCTTTCGGAACACAAAAAAACCCAAACAATTCACAAGCTTCAAATCAGATTTATTTCAGAGATATGACATCACACATATTGATCTTCATCTTAGTAATCTAATGTCATAGCACAAGTGTATCCTAGCACCCATAAGGTCCCAATTCCCCTGGCAGGTCACATGATTCTTTTTCACTCTGTCTCCTATTCATGGTCAGAGAAATGTAGTCCACATATAGAAGATGTTCAGTTTGATGACTAAGGAGGATGAAGTACTGCCTGGTTATTGGACAAGTCATATTCTGATGGTTCAGATCTTGTCTGGTTTCCTGTGGCATTTCTGAGCTCTCTTATCAGTCTTGACTATCTTCATGCTGAGATAGGGGGGCACGGGTGGCCCGGTCGTCTAAGGTGCCACAATTCGCTGTGCAGATTTGCATCCCTTGGGCACACCAGAAACCTACGATTGCGATATACCCTGATTATGTTTCTAGGTTTGTCAGCACCATACCCGTGCTCATGGTTTTCACCGAAGTGGTAAACGTCGGAGACCTGCATCACTGTGGGCTTTCATCCCACATTAAGCTGACATGCTGTGATATAACTGGAATACTGTTCAAACTGGTGTTAAACACAACTCACTCACTCAGCATGGGATAGGAACAAGCACCCTCTTCTTTGATATGAAGAACCTTCACTTAATATCATTTTGTACAGATAGTAGCGACCTTGCCATTAATGCTTGATGGACATCCTACTCTGTAGTGATCATCAGGCAGGTGAAACTATGTTTTTTAAGATCACATATTTGTTTGGTTGTTATTTATTACAGTTTTATCCCCCGCCACGAAGTGGAAGGGGGATATAGGAATGGGTGCTGTCCGTCTGTCCTTCCGTCCGTCACATTTTGTTTCCAGAGCAGATCTTGAAAACCGTACCATATTTCTTCACCAAACTTGGCACATAGATAGGTCTAGTGATGAACTGGTGCCTTTTGATAGTTTGGGATTTAAAAAAAAAAAAATTTGTTCACAGGAGCTAATGCATTGCACACAACCAGACTTGTCATATTGGCGGGGGATATGAGTACTTCATGCTTGTTTCACTTAATGATAGAGTTTATTTTATTCAAAACAAAACATGTAAAACAATACTAATTTCAATTGCATGCTTTTGGCAGAACAATTACCTGCTTATTGCGTGAAATGAGCACGCCTGTTGCCCATATTGTGAAATATTTTAAGAACTATTTTTCATTCACAACTGTTGCCCATTGCATGCATTGAGCAGATAATTGTTTTGCACATTGCATGAATTTGGCAAGCTATATTGCCCATTGCATGCAATGTCCAGTTGCACAGATTGGGTGCAACATTTACATTACTCAAGACTACACAATCTCATGACATGTATCTTGACTTCAGGAAAGTGATGACGAATGAGGGACCCAAGGCTTTCTTCAAGGGAGCTGCATGCCGTATTTTGGTGATTGCGCCTCTGTTTGGGATTGCACAGACCGTTTACTATCTTGGTGTGGCAGAGTTCCTGATGGGGTTGAAGAAGTCTTGAGATCAATGGCTTTGTTGTGTGAGGTTGATATAGTGTACATGTGTAGATGTCTGCTCTGGCACTACGCCCTCATAGATCAGTGTGCCTGCACGGAGGAACTATTCTTAATGAAACTTGGCCAGATTATTTTACTTGGGGATGGATCAAGAAGAAGCAGGTCAGATGATTTACGCAAGATGAGCCAGATGCCCTATCAGAAAGGAATAATAGTTGGTGAATGATTGACATGTAGTGCTGCAATTTGACCTTGAATGTGCTGTTGACCTTGACATTTGTGGTCAAGACATGCTGTCTCATGGTAACTACAATGTCACATGACAGCTTTAATTTTATTAGTGCTGTATTTAAGGTAATATGTACAACGATATATAGTTCTAATGGCACTTTACCAACAGTTAATATTGGGATTTTACAAGATTTAACAAAGATTTTTTGTTTTGGAATAGCAATGTAAAAATCTGCAATATTCTTAGTATTTATTTTCAAACACAGACTTACGCAATCATTGATCACAGCTTTTTGTGAAGAATATTGTTACATTATAAATGTTAATACATGCAATGTATGGGAACATTTGTCTAATGTGTTGTTTTCAAAACACAAGTTTATGATCCAACTGGTACCTCTGAAGATATTCTCAGAATGTTTAAAGACGGCACTTGCTAATTACACGACCACATTCATTTTGTTTTGTTACTAATAAAGGGCTACTTTGTTTTGTAATTATGTTCAAATATGAGATGCAAATAGGTTTTATTTAAGTGTGCTTGTATATAGTACTCCCATACCATTAGTAACAGACATTGTGTGTCAGGCAGAATGTGTGTGCGAGTCTGACCACAAGTGTGTCAGTCTGAACATGAGTGTCAGTCAGACCATGTGTGGCAGTAAGACCATGTGTGTCAGTAAGACCATGTGTGTCAGTAAGACCATGTGTGTCAGTCAGACCATGTGTGGCAGTAAGACCATGTGTGGCAGTAAGACCATGTGTGTCAGTCAGACCATTTGTATCAAGCTGAATGTGTGTGAGTCAGACCACAGGTGTGTCAGGCTGAATGTGTGTGTCAGTCAGACCATGTGTGTCTGTCAGACTGTCTATCAGTGAAACCATGTGTGTAAGTCAGACCATGTGTGTCTATCAGTGAAACCATGTGTGTCAGTAAGACTGTGTGAGCTTCCTGGCTAACAGACCATAACATTTGTTTCATCAACTCCTTGTGTAAACTGCATGAACTTATACCCCATTTACATGTTCAACATTTACTAACGTAAGTAATTTTACACATGTGTAACTATACATATGTGTGTTTTTGTAAATTTACTATGCGTTCACATGAAAAGCAAATTAGGTGTGTAAATTAAGTAAGTAAATTGTGTAAGGCACACATATTCGTCAGTCTGTTCACGACTTTCAACATAAAACAGGTTGTTTGCCAATTAAAGTTGAATGAGAAGAAAATTTTCGCATGAAGCAACATGTGTTTGATTTTATTTGTACACAAAGTTTTGACTCCTTGAAACCAAAAGAAAACACTCCAGCTCAGCTCTGTATATACTGGTATGCATAAAAGTTGGCAACTGTTGACAATTTGTTTGGTGTTGGCAAAACAACAGATTTTAATTAGATTCTTACGTTGACATAAACGCTTACATTGCAACATATACACACAGTGCAAATTTACATTTACATTTAAACCTGCTCCAGACATGATGCAAATTTGCTCCTGATGTAAATATACACACATGAGTAAACGTGTTCACATGACAAGTATACCCACATATGTATTTCTACACACGTACATGTATGCACATATACACACATACACACATATGTATAGAGGCGCCTGTGAACGGGGTTTAAGTCTGGTATTGCTAGTTTCCTGCTGAATGTTTGAATGAGTTAATAAATTGTGACATATTTTATGGTTGATTTTTAACTGATTTTAGCAATTGTTACATTTTAACATTGATAGCATTTCTACAGGGAATGCTGCATGGGATGCACATGGAGGCCAAATCGGTTCTTCCACAACAAATATCAATCAACAATGGCAAAATAAGTACTGTGTATAAGTCAGCTGACTCAGGTGCTGAAACCTCCACCGGCATTGAAACAATCAAAGCTGTACTTAGGTCATGTGTGCTGTATGTGCAAGGCAAGCAACTCGTCCCTTGTCCCTCACTCACCTAACTGGCTAGGGCTCCATTCCACAAAACCAACTTTGTAGCACTTGGTTTGTTGTGTGGAACGGATCCAGGACAAGTGGCTTGTGCTGCTGGTAGCCCACTATTTGCAACTTGACTCACCCCCTCACCGTTTAGACGGTGTGCCCGATCTCGGTCCACACATTCCAGATATTCTCAGACTCATCCCTACAGTAGCAGTACGTCTATAGGAGGAGGAATCTCTTCTGTAAATACCGGTATTTCTTGATAATTGATTTTTGTAAGAAATATTGTTGGCTCTGTTGCCCTACAACGGCAGGGAAGCATCATCACATCACAGTATTGTCATTCTACTTTCAGACAAAACAAGTCTATGTTTTACATTGAGGTAGCATAAGGCCAGACTTTTTTAGGGGTGGTTTACAGATATTTGGGCCAAAAATTCTTGTAGGTAGATCTAGGTTGGATATATAAATGCAAAAAATCTAAATTTTAAGAGCCTAGTGTTTAAACTTCTCGCTCGTCCAAACCGAAGACCCATGGTCGATTCAACACATGGGTTCAAAGTGTGGAGCCCATTTCTGCTGTCCATCTCTGTGATACCGCTGGATTGATGTGGCGTAAAATCATTCTCACTCACTCTGAAATAAAAACCCCACTGCTTTTAAATTGTTATATTTAGAATTTTGAGAGTCGTTAGATTCATTATCTATGTTTTGAAAAAATGTCTGGCCTAACTTGTTGCATAATTATGACAGTATGCCTGTTATATCATGACTTGCCAGCTTAATGTGTAAAGTATCTTCATCTCGAAACTGGGAGGCTGTGCAAGGTATAGAGCAAGTTTTGTTTGTTTGTTTGTTGTTTAACGCCGCACTCAGCAATATTCCAGCTATATGACGGCGGTCTGTAAGTAATCAAGTCTGGACCAGACAATCCAGTGATTGACATCATGAGCATCAATGACATGCATCAACCAAGTCAGCAAGCCTGACCACCCAATACCGTTAGTCGCCTCTTACGACAAGCATAATCACCTTTATAGCCAGTGTGTACTGGGGATATACCAGTTGACATATCAGGGTGAGTGTGTATACAAGGGCTACAGATTCATATATATCAGGATGCAGGGAAATTATGCTCATATATACCAACATAATACAGGGATCTGCACAATGGTATACACAATAGCTTGGTTTAATATTGGCACTAGTCGAGTACAGCAGCAGATGAAGGGCATGTAAAGTGTACACAGTATAGATGTATGATCAGTGTTAATATTTGTTATGTTGATGATGTAGGCATAGTTGTACACATAGGCTTTGTGTCTCACCCAGTCCACACCCTCCTGGAGATCATCCTCTTTGCTCCAGGGTATTTTATGAACTGACCCTTAGTCCTCCACACAGCAGTGTTACTATGACTGGTCTGAGGAACATGGAACCTCAGTAGACAAAGTATCCAGATCTGTGGTATATATCTGTGATGTATTCCTTCTCCATCAACCAATCAGACTCAGGTGTGACACTCTAAGGGAATCCGGCTCACACAAAGTAGAAACTAGTGTTGCATTCTCTGATGGTTGTGAATTGTTGAAAACTATTTGTATGTTCTGTGATTAAATATTGTGATAAACTAAACAGTGACAAACCTTCCGCTTTAATCAAACTACGCAGTTGTATATTTATGTTGTTGAAGTTGCAGTTTTTCTTTTACAGTGTTACAGAATTTACAGCATAGGGTGTAGAAGTTTCCATTAGAACTTTGGTATACTTGACATTTGTTAGCTTGCAGAAATTGTGTTGAATTTTTTAGTCCAGTTCATTTGTTTGAGAATGTTGACCAATTGAAACAGTACTGCTGATGCTTGTTTCCAGAACAGGGAGTATTCATCTCTGTGTAGGTTGTTGTCAACAAATCATCTCCAATTCCAAATGTGTGAAAACCTTTTACAATGATAATTTCTTTACATATGTTTCTTTCAGTGGTCAGTATTATAATGGATTTGCTTTGCATGTAATTTTTTTTAGATATTTGGTCAAATGTTGGTGTTAAGGCCGTAAACTATTCCAAAGAAGTTAACGAACACTTGACTTTTTCAAATGACTAAAATTAATCTGTCATGCCATGATCGATTAACTGAAGTACTATGAAAGAATCAGGCATTCTTTAACTTCTTTTGAGTAGTATATTTGCAGCTGATTACTGTGCTAATATTGCTTATGTTTGTTATGTTGTACCACATTTCCTCTATTAGACACTGGCCTCCAATACACGCCAGCCTTAATTGACTCCAGGTCATACACTCTGACTAACAAGTAGAAGCCGGCCCTCCATCAAACATCGGGTCCATCATTTGATGAAATTATGATACTATCACATTAACATGGCATGTTGTGATTACTCCCTTCACTTAATAATGAATGTCTTGCAAATGTACTCTTAGTATGGCTGTAGAAATTAGGAATCGGTAAGGTAGTGAATTGCACAATGCCAGACGCCGGGTCTATGGCTTGTGCCCAGGCTACTGATAGAGAAAATACAGTAAATCAAGCATGACACAGAATACACGCCTGCGGCTGATAGACAACAGGTCAACAGCATGCATAGAAGTAATAGACGCCCGGACGTCTAATAGAGTCCTACATCATTACAAGCAGTCCTTCGTAGAATCTGGCCTAAGTTAGGAGATACTTCATAAGCTACTTAGTGTCACAGTGTAGGAGTATTGCACAAGGTAAAGAACAGGATCTGGAGACCTGAGCAGGGTGTGAGCAGGGAAAAATCACTTACCGGTAAACACTGCAATAGAAAAGTTATAAGGCCACACACACATCTTTATTATCCCCCGCCCAACAAAGTTGGCGGGGGATATAGAAATGGGCTCCGTCCGTCCGTCCATCACGTTTCGTTTCCGGAGCATAACTAAGAAACCGTTAAAAAAAATTTCATGAAACTTTGCAGATCTGTCAAGTACATGCTGAACTGGTGCCTTTTGCTATTTAGAAATTTTAGAAATTTTATAATTTTTTATTTTTTTACGTTTCCATGGCAACAAGATGGACTCAGGTTCCAAACTCTTCTTTTTTTTATAATTTCCACAAGTTCCACCTCGGTTAAAAAAGGTTAGGGTTTGTTTAGATTTAATTATGTCATAAATTCTGCAACAGGGGCAGGGGATATAGCCACGTTAGTGGCAAACTCTTGTTTGTTCTAAGTTTTCTTCCACTAGCAATTTTTCTTTGTTGTTTTGAAATAACCACATTGTGCATTTTGAAAGTTTATTTAATATATTTTTGCAAGGCAAATGCTTTTATCTCATGGAACATCAATGACTACTGTTACTTAAGTGAGTCCTTTCACCCGTTTCTCGTAGTGTGTTTATGGCAGACATTGCTGGATTTTGTTTATTATTCTGTTGGATTCCATTAAGGTACAGTGATTCAGTGATTTGCCTTCTACCTGTACAACAAATAAGTTTAGAAATTTGATGAAGGAGAAATATTTGTATATGCATTTATCAGTGTGTGTTATTGGTTTACAGTGTATTTGGTTTTATCATTACATAAAACAATTCCTTTACAGGACATACTGAAACTACCCAATCACTGATTGCCATTGTTGTTTTCTTTCTGAGTAAATGAAGGACCTGTAGAATGGATGCTGTTTCTTTTGGGTCAGGGGAGGTAATGTTGATGTACCCAATGTCTGCTAGGCTAAACCAGGACAACAGATCCTATTGTTATGTCATGCATTGTAATGTTGCATCTAAAGCTTTATTGAATAGAAATTCTTTGAAACAAATTCTAGTTCTGTTTTATATCCATCATCTTTGTATTTTAATATATGTTTCAGTGCCCCAGACATACTGAGTGAGTGAGTGAGTGAGTGAAAGGGTGAGTGAGTGAGTGGGTGGGTGGGCTGGTGAGTGAGTGAGTGAGTGAGAGGGTGGGTGGGTGGTCGGGCGAGCGTGTGTGTGTGGGCGGGGGAGCAACCGAGTGAGTGAGTGAGTGACTGGAAAATTACTGACGGCGGTGTAAACAAGATGTGCTGCATAAAGCCAAGAATGACTTTGGTGTGATGCTGCTTTGAACAGTTACATCACTGGTAGTCAGCTTGAAAGGCCTTGGAGGTTTACCACTTTTGTGAATCCCATGAACAAAGAATGGTGCTGACAAACCAAGAAACATAATCAGGGCAACTCCGGGATTCGAACCCACGATCAGCTTCACAGCAATTTATGGCACCTTAGACAAATGTGCCACCAATGAATCCAGTGAATCTTTCAAGCTGGGTATGTACAATGACAACATGGCAGTGTCTGGGCCTGAGTGTCATGGTGGGCAAAGCTGTAACATTACTTACTTTCTTAATGTAGCGGCCATAAAATTTCCGAGTCCCGAGATGGGATTCGAACCACGGACCTTCTGATCAGAGGTCGGATGCCTTGTCCACATGACCAAAGAGGTTAACCCTGTCAGCAATCTGACAAGGTAAGGATGTCATCTGTGGGATGACTCCACGCCCTGCTACATACTCCTCAGTCAACAGAAGGCACGTCCCGGGCCGCATAGTAGGGTACTGAGGCTTATTTTGCTCAAATTTAATATGAACGTGCTCAGCCCCACGTTGGGCGCCAATGTAGCGGCCATAAAATGTCTGAGTCCCACGGAGCTTCTGATCAGAGGGTGTTATATATCAGGTCTTCAGCAACCCATGCTTGCTGTAAAAGGCGACTGTGCTTGTCGTAAGAGGCGACTAACAGGATCGGGTGGTCAGGCTCGCTGACTTGGTTGATGCATGTTATTGATCCAAATTGCATGGATCGATGCTCATGATATCAATCACTGGATTGTCTGGTGCAGATTATTTACAGACCGCTGTCATACAGCTGGAATATTGCGGAGTGTGGCGTAAAACAACAAACCAACCAACCAACTATTCTGGCTGAAATGTTACTTGCAATGGGATAAATGACAAATCTTTCCCACACTGTCCTGATCGTGCTCACCCTATCGACCACTAGTTTGCTTGTTACACGGTTACTGCACACTGCTGCAACATATACTACTCACCATTTGATAAGGGAAATATATTTCATACCATACTCGCCGCCAAAAGACACCGAACCATAGAAACATATAGAGAAGTGTGTACGTGAAGAAGATGTTTCCAGTGTGTAATGACATAACCAAGCATCAGTAAGTGTTACTTCAGAGTGACCTTATTCTTATCACTATATGCATCTTCCCGAGGCAGGAGAGTTAACTGACTATAAAAGTCCAGTTTCCAACCTTGCCAAACTAGGCTGGAATTATGGAGTTACATTTTGTCTGGACTAACGAGTCTATGCTTAGTCCAATCAAAATCGCGCACCGAAATCAAAATCCGGTTCGTAAACTGTCGTGCAGATTTCGATCGATTGCAGGATTTGCAAAGCATGTGCACCGCCAACTCATTGTCAGCAGATATTTTCTAAATCCTTTCATGTTTTTAATCAAGGTGCTCACGTGATTTGATGCATTTCGCGATGTAAGACCCGTTTTATCACAATATAGATCTTGATTATCGATCAGATCGTCCTGACTGGGCGCCACCATTTTGTGTGAAGCAAACGCAAGTGATACGAGAGGTGGAATCTGATTGGTCCACAGGAGAGGTTTAGAAGGGGCATATTTGGTAATAGCCACTCGTGGCGCAACGATCGAGCCCAGTAATTCCAGCCTAGTTCGGCAAGGGTGGAAACTGGACTTTTAAAGTCAGTTAACTCCCTTGCCTCAGGAAGATGCGGCACGTGATTTCCAAACTTTACACGCTAATCCTGCACGAGACAGGTGCATCTTGAGTCATGGATCTAGGATGTCAGACATGATGCGTTCATGAGAATCGATTCACACAACAAACCAGTTTGTTTGTTTGTGCATCAAACCAATTTAATATCTAATGAATATAAGTAATTCTTCATTTATTAATCATACATGATATTCACGTATCTCTTTTCCATGAGTATATTTTCATACCATGGAATATCCTTATAAATATGTGAGAAGTACAGCCAGCAAAGCTCCTAGAAGAAATCCTTGCTGTAATGGATGGCTGTTGGAGCACAAAACATGTGGAACAAGGCATGCATAGTTTATTCACAACCCTCAAGTACAGACTGCTGTATATGTGTGGACACAGGCTGAAAATGAATACAATATATCTTATGCTATTTTCTTTGGAAAGGTTACAAAGTACATCAGAATATTAACATAGTTCTGAAAGAGACACTGACTGATGTGATGTCACTGAGAACGGAGCTCTTCACATCATATCACGTGACCTGAGTACAGAGCTCTCCACATGTCACATGTGACCTGAGTACGGAGCTCTTCACATCATGTCAGGTGACCTGAGTACGGAGCACTTCTCATCATGTCACATGTGACCTGAGTTCAGAGCTCTTCACATCATGACACCTGTGACATGAGTACGGAGCTCTCCACATCATGTCACATGTGACCAGAGTACGGAGCTCTTCACATCATGTCACATGTGACCTGAATACGGAGCTCTTCACATCATGTCACATGTGACCTGAGTACGGAGCTCTCCACATCATGTCACATGTGACCTGAGTACAGAGCTCTCCACATCATGTCACATGTGACCTGAGTACGAAGCTCTCCACATCATGTAACCTGAGTACGGAGCTCTTCTCATCATGTCACAAGTGACCTGAGTACGGAGCTCTACACATCATGTCACAAGTGATCTGAGTACGGAGCTCTACACATCACGCCACATATGACCTGAGTACGGAGCTCTTCACATCATGTCACATGTGACCTGAGTACGGATCTCTTCACATCATGTCACATGTGACCTGAGTACGGAGCTCTTCACATCATGTCACATGTGACCTGAGTACGGAGCTCTTCACATCATGTCACATGTGACCTGAGTACGGAGCTCTCCACATCATGTCACATGTGACCTGAGTATGGAGCTCTTCACATCATGTCACATGTGACCTGAGTACGGAGCTCTTCACATCATGTCACATGTGACCTGAGTACGGAGCTCTCCACATCATGTCACATGTGACCTGAGTATGGAGCTCTCCTCATCATGTCACATGTGACCTGAGTACGGAGCTCTCCACATCATGTCACATGTGACCTGAGTATGGAGCTCTTCACATCATGTCACATGTGACCTGAGTACGGAGCTCTCCACATCATGTAACCTGAGTACGGAGCTCTTCTCATCATGTCACAAGTGACCTGAGTACGGAGCTCTACACATCATGTCACAAGTGATCTGAGTACGGAGCTCTACACATCACGCCACATATGACCTGAGTACGGAGCTCTTCACATCATGTCACATGTGACCTGAGTACGGATCTCTTCACATCATGTCACATGTGACCTGAGTATGGAGCTCTCCACATCATGTCACATGTGACCTGAGTATGGAGCTCTTCACATCATGTCACATGTGACCTGAGTACGGAGCTCTTCACATCATGTCACATGTGACCTAAGTACGGAGCTCTCCACATCATGTCACATGTGACCTGAGTACGGAGCTCTCCACATCATGTCACATGTGACCAGAGTACGGAGCTCTTCACATCATGTCACATGTGACCTGAATACGGAGCTCTTCACATCATGTCACATGTGACCTAAGTACGGAGCTCTCCACATCATGTCACATATGTGACAGAACACTGAGGTTTTTGCATAAAGTCACTGAGTATCATAGAAATATTATGTCACACGAGAGTATTACACCAAATATAAATCAACAAATCAATCATGATTCAGCAGGATTACATAACTTACAAGGTGAAGATTCTTGTGCACCCTGAGACCAAAAGTTCATCTTGTAAAATCCTGTGACAACAGACTATATACAAACAGTTTACATACAGATATGAGATATAATGGATTTACATCAAAACAGACATCCCAGTACAATCGGCTTGGGCAATAATTCTTAAACAATTTTGAGAGATCAGATGACCTCTTTGTGCTAATAAGGTATAAGCTACTTTGATCATAAGGACGAAACATGTGTTTGGTTGTGAATTTCTGATGCATCAAAACTCCATAAACCCAGCCATTTACTTTGTGATGAACAAGCATATTTGTAAAAAAATAAAGGCACTGGGGCTGGGACAGGTAAATCAGGTTCTCGGGTACTCGGGTTGGGTGGGTCCTGAGTAGGACCCAGGTACCCACAGGACTACCCGGACCCGTGGTTAGTCATTTGATATATAGTTAAATGACAACAACAATAAAATCTGATGGTTACACAAGTACAAGTTGATAATATTCGCATTTCTTTCTGACTGTGCACAGTCCTCCTGACTCTTTTTGTACCCAACTTAAGACCTACAGCAAGTACCCAAGTAGGGTCAGGTAATAGGGGGGTCGGGTACCCGGGTAGTAAATTTGGACTCGTCCCAGGCCTAAAAGGCACAGCATCAAACAGTCATGCATGAAACCCCTGTATAGATATATGGACATCTGTACAACACTGCACAAATAAATACTGCAGAGCAAGTATACCTGAACAGCAATATATCGTATGCTATTTTCTTTGGGAAGGTTACAAAGTACATCAGAATATTAACATAGTTCTGAAAGAGACACATACTCTTGGAGGGTAAATATTAGCATATATATTATATTAAAGCATGGCGTTCACACAACTTATTAAAATATTGGACACGGACAAATAAATACTGCAGAGCAAGTATACCTGAACAGCACCAGCCATGTTAGAGTTCTCTCCCTTACACAGTATCGTAACTTACATTTGACATAACAATGAAGATAGACTTTCTATACCGACTACAGACCGTAGGGAAGACAGTGTACAAAACCCTGATTGCTATGTCATCAGCAGCTTTCCCTCATACATAGTCAGTGGGAAGATGCAAAGGGAGAGAATCCATGCCCACTCATCTGCACTGTTTAATGAAAGCACTCTGGAAATCATATTATATAATACTTGGTCTCTGAAATCACACAATAGGAATTCTATTTACAGATATTTACACCTAGTCTTACACAGATTCTGAATATAGCAGGCACCGGTTCACGTAGGTATCAAATACACTCTACAACAGGATAATGAGTTATTGTACAGAATGGAGGTCACGACAACATTGAGCATTAGCTTTGTGGGAACTTACCATTTGGTTGTGTGTATTACAGTGAGTGAGAGAGTGAGTTGGGTTTAACGCTGCTTTTAACAGTATTCCAGCTATATCACAGCGTGTCAGCTTAATGTGGGAGGAAAGCCCGAAGTAATTCAGGTCTCAGACGTTTACCACTTCGGTGAAACCCACGAGCACGGGTATGGTGCTGACAAACCTAGAAACATAATCGGGGTGAACCTGGATTCGAACCCACAATCATAGGTTTCAGGATCAACAGTTACAAATGTTGAATAGTCGAAGATATAGATATTCCATACACATATTCACTGGTAACAATAAGACCATCAATAACAAAAGTTGAGTAGTCGAGGATACAGATATTACATATTTGGCTGTTGATGTGGAGATACTGGTACTCCAAGGTTGGACAATGCATTGCGGTTTACAGTAAATCTAGAATGGTGATGAAAGCAGTGAATAACATGATGCCATTTGTTGTTATATGTTTGATTATGGATTTCCTCATCTTGAATTATTAGTTTGGAAGCAGTGTTGAAAGTAGACCACTTTCTGCAATACTACTTTAAACAGTTTAAATTATTGACAATTTTTAACAGGTCTTACGAAAGTCACAGACACATAAAAGTTGTTAGGCGAGTATCATATGACCATTTGTTCATGTTTTGCTCATTTAAACATATCATATTCACAAGGAGAAGGATTGGGCACAAGTTTTCACAACTCAGGTAACACTCTCCCAAAATATTTACATGACTAGCGTTATATAAAAATAACCACATTGACATATGTACACAAGACAGAGTATACACAAACAGAGAGAAGAGTAGAAAACAGGGCATTACATTTACGAAAGAAATAAGTGAAACAACTGTACAACTTCATTGCAGCTGAGATGGGAGCTCCAATTTAACAATATTGACATACTATGGACTAGTTTATTTTTACATATTTCAATTATGCTATTAAACATAATTTTTCTTGCAGTTTGATCACATGGATATTCTAAACGTTACTTGGGAGAGTGGAGGAAGGCCAGTGAGAAAGTATGTGTGTATAAAACGGAGGGGCTTTTGCTAATCAAAAGGAATTTTCATTTTACATAAAAGACATACTTGACTGTGCTCTTTGTCAGATTGTACTGTTTTCAGGACAGACTTTCACCGACTGGACAATACAATATTATCATTCAGTCACGACTGTTTCAGCATTGCTCCTTTTCTTATTTTGTGTACTGGCAAATTGTCCGTATCAATATATAAAGCGATATTGTAATTGCCATCGATTACAGTTTGAATACAATTATTTGACATTATGAAACTGTTGTGTTCTGTCACATTTCACTCAGTAGGTTATATTTCGATTCCAACCCTGGATCAACTTGTAACATATTTGTCATGCATATGAATCATACCATCAGGCAATCTGAATATTTCATGACTAACCTCAATTCTTGTACAAAAGATGATAACAAAACAAGGCAACATTCTCATGCTGTTGGTCATATTCATTTCCTCGTTAAACAGACAAGCAGTTAACCTGGAAGTGAGATTGCATTGAATGGCTGGGTACTGGTAGGTTGTTTCAACATCGGCTGCAGATGCCAAATGCATTCTCCATGTTCTATGAAATTTATGACCTCTAGCTCCCCACCTTGAAGCTATGTGCAGGTGATGTAGATTTTGGAGGTGCTGGTCTTGTTTGGGGTCAGTCGACTGTGGTCTTGTGTGAGTTCAGTTGGCTGTGGTGTAGCTGGGCCCATGGAGGTGCTGGTCTTGTGTGAGTTCAGTTGGCTGTGGTGTAGCTGGGCCCATGGAGGTGCTGGTCTTGTGTGAGTTCAGTCGGCTGTGGTGTAGCTGGGCCCATGGAGGTGCTGGTCTTGTGTGAGTTCAGTCGGCTGTGGTGTAGCTGGGCCCATGGAGGATCTGGTCGTGTGTGAGTTCAGTCGGCTGTGGTGTAGCTGGGCCCATGGAGGCTTTGGTCATGTTTGAGGTCAGTTGGCTGTGGTGTACCTGGGCCCATGGAGGTGCTGGTCTTGTGTGAGTTCAGTCGGCTGTGGTGTAGCTGGGCCCATGGAGGTGCTGGTCTTGTGTGAGTTCAGTCTGCTGTGGTGTTGTTGGGCCCATGGAGGTGCTGGTCTTGTGTGTGTTCAGTTGGCTGTGGTGTTGTTGGGCCCATGGAGGTGCTGGTCTTGTGTGAGTTCAGTCTGCTGTGGTGTTGTTGGGCCCATGGAGGTGCTGGTCTTGTGTGAGTTCAGTCGGCTGTGGTGTCACTGGGCCTGTGGAGGTGCTGGTCTTGTGTGAGTTTAGTCGGCTGTGGTGTAGCTGGGCCCATGGAGGTGCTGGTCTTGTGTGAGTTCAGGTGGCTGTGGTGTTGTTGGGCCCATGGAGGTGCTGGTCTTGTTTGCGATCAGTTGGCTGTGGTGTAGCTGGTCCCATGGAGGTGTTGGTCATGTTTGAGGTCAGTCGGCTGTGGTGTCACTGGGCCTGTTGAGGTGCTGGTCTGGTTTGAGGTCAGTCGGCTGTGGTGTTACTGGGCCTGTGGAGGTGCTCATCTAGCTTGAGGTCATCATGACACAGGGGGCAGAGTTTCAGAGGAACACAGAACTTGTGGAAGCTGTGACCTGCAAAACAAGTGAGCGATAAGTTTACTTCCTGTCTGGAACCTTCTACTTTCTACTGAAGTTATTATGTTCCCAAATGTTCTAATCCTCCTAATGCCAATGTAAACAGCAGTACCAAGTCTGCACAGTCTGTAACAGTATCCATAAGAACAAGAGAAGAGATATGAGTTTCCGAAATGTGACCTCAGGTGACATTGTGACTACCAAGGTGTCAATGCAACATTAACATGATTAAGGTGATGATGAGTACTGAGGTGACAGTGTAAATATCTAGGTGATGCTGTGTGTATCAAGGTGATGATGTGTGTATCAAGGTGATGCTGTGTGTATCAGGGTGATGCTGTGTGTATCAAGGTGATGCTGTGTGTATCAAGGTGAGGATGTGTGTATCAAGGTGATGCTGTGTGAATCAAGGTGATGATGTGTGTATCAAGGTGATGCTGTGTGTATCAAGGTGATGCTGTGTGTATCAAGGTGATGATGTGTGTATCAAGGTGATGCTGTGTGTATCAAGTGATGATGTGTGTATCAAGGTGATGCTGTGTATATCAGGGTGATGCTGTGTGTATCAAGGTGAGGATGTGTGTATCAAGGTGATGATGTGTGTATCAAGGTGATGATGTGAGTATCAAGGTGATGATGTGTGTATCAAGGTGAAGATGTGTGTATCAAGGTGATGATGTGAGTATATAGGTGATGATGTCAGGATGAAGGTGACATACCACAGGTAAAGATGATGACTCCAGGTACAGTGTGCGACACAGTCTCAGTGAGACTAACGCAACAGTTTCGGCATCCTCTGTAACAACACAATGATACAGTCAGGGGAGACAACCAATGATGCACTATGGATCTTATATCTATCATATATATACATTCATGACACTAATATGAGACACACTGTTCATGGTTCTCAAAGTGTAATCATGTCAAGTGTTCCTTCAAATATCTATTTAATGAACAAAATATATTTAGTGATTGAGTGAGTTGCGACATCTGTCACTTTGAACAGTATATCAGTTGTATCACACATGTCAGCTTATTGTCAGGACATCCCAAGTGATGCATGACACAGATGTGTACCACATTGACCAGATGATCCTGGCATTGGTAAGGGACACAACTCCACTCAGGGAATTGTTGTCCTGACATATCGGCCTCCAGAACCCACACCAAATTAAGACTGAAATATGCAAACATCTGCATATTACACCATGTCAGGATTCAGGGGAAGAATGGGTAAGCAGAATCCCATGATTATGGATAGAAGAAAGAGAAATGAGAGGTGGTAGGGCTCAATGTTATGACCGACTGTGTGCCATCATGGCCTGACGGCTTGCATCATAGCTCATGCTTTCAACTGATGGTTTGCATAGTCCTAACTTGATAATTTACAGGTTGCTGTGATATAGTGTATATTTATAATAATTTTTTTATTATATCTAAAATTCAGTTAAGTAAACTAAAAATTGGAAAATAATCAATCACATATTCTACGATTGAATGTGATTGAATGTTCCACTGAAACCAGTCAACCAGTGATGAAATTGATTAATTTGTTCAACACAAGTCGAAATCAGGGACACAGTGTTCTCACCCGGTGATGTCCGCGGCGATGCCCCAGTGAGCTTCTGCATCCTCCACGGTGCGTCCCTCGCTGTGCTGCTTCACCGACAACTGTGAAAACTGGACACAACACAGACTAGTGAGTGGAACAACTCCTAGCTGGTTATCCAATATATTTATGGCATTCTAAAATAGTAAAAATCACCTACAATTCTGAGCAGTAGATACAACAGTGTAACTCATGTCTCCATGGAGTAATATCTTGTCAATTACAATGTGCAGGCATGCCCACTCCTTTACTACCAGATTGTAAAATCTTGAACCTTATAAGTCTCAGAGTGAGTGAGTGAGTGAGTTGGGTTTAACGCCGCTTTTAACATTATTCCAGTTATATCACAGCGTGTCAGCTTAATGTGGGAGGAAAGCCCGAAGTGATGTAGGTCTCAGATGGTTACCACTTCGGTGAAACCCACGAGCACGGGTATGGTGCTGACAAACCTAGAAACATAATCGGGGCGAACCGGGATTCGAACCCACACAGCGAATCGCGGCGCCTAAGACGACTGGGCCACCTGTGCCCCCTTATAAGTCTCAGAGACTGATGGTCCCATGATATGTACTAACAAAGCCAATGGTCAAGACACAGTCACAGCATGATTGCATGATTGCGATACTGTTTGTTGCGTTGTTGTTCATTGTCACATTAAGCAACATTCCAGCTATATGATGGTGGCCTGTAAACAATTAAGTCTAGACCAGACAATCAAGTGATTTCAACCAAATGCGGAACTCACCAGCTGCTGGTACTCCTGTCGGTCCTCCTCCGGCCCCGAGCGACTTCGCTTCTCTGCCCGCACCGCATACAATAGCTGTAACCATGGTAACAAGAGTCAGAGACAGGCCTTTGAAAAGGTCAAAGAGTAAAAGACATATACATATATTGACAAAAGGGAGGGACTAGTGACCTATCTGTGGAGTGAGATGTGTTGATTCTTGGTTAATTCTTGGCCACCGGTGACAACAGCATATAAGGACGAGGAGAAGGAGCCAGTGACCTACCTGTGGAGTGAGAGGTGGTTGAGTCTTGGCCACAGGTAACACCAACATATATGAACCAGGAGAAGGGGTGAGTGACCTACCTGTGGAGTGAGAGGTGGCTGACTCTTGGCCACAGGTAACACCAACATATATGAACTAGTAGAAGGGGTGAGTGACCTACCCGTGGAGTGAGAGGTGGCTGACTCTTGGCCACAGGTAACACCAACATATATGAACTAGTAGAAGGGGTGAGTGACCTACCCGTGGAGTGAGAGGTGGCTGACTCTTGGCCACAGGTAACACCAACATATATGAACTAGTAGAAGGGGCGAGTGACCTACCTGTGGAGTGAGAGGTGGTTGACTCTTGGCCACAGGTGACACCAACATATATGAACCAGGAGAAGGGGCGAGTGACCTACCTGTGGAGTGAGAGGTGGTTGACTCTTGGCCACAGGTGACACCAACATATATGAACCAGGAGAAGGGGCGAGTGACCTACCTGTGGAGTGAGAGGTGGTTGACTCTTGGCCACAGGTGACACCAACATATATGAACCAGGAGAAGGGGCGAGTGACCTACCTGTGGAGTGAGAGGTGGTTGACTCTTGGCCACAGGTGACACCAACATATATGAACCAGGAGAAGGGTCGAGTGACCTACCTGTGGAGCGAGATGTGGTTGTTTTTTTGCCCAAAGGTATGTGTCCACCTTTTCCAACATATTGTGAACAACCAGTCTGAAGAAATAAGACAAAGAATATATTCACAGTTAATAAAATCTCTTCTTAGTTTTCTTAAGGTTTACAAACCACCAATAAATAATCAGTTTTTACAGTAAAAATTTTAAACCTTGGGGAGGAAAATCGCTGATTTTACATCGTCGGCAATACTTTATTTTTTTCTTACACACTGACTAAGCCTTAAAGTAGGTTTAATACTATCACAACAACTGGCTATGGCAATACTATTGCAATAGTGTGGGTCACTATTGCAACACAGTTCCAACAGTGAAAACAGCCCCAATAGTCACCCTAAGTATGACACCATATTCATCTTTTGATAAGAATATTATGATAGCTGAAAAACTGATTTCTTGTATAAATCAAATTTAAGTAAATTGTGGACAACAAGACTTTTGGACCATAAAAAATATGTTGAGTTTCCCAATTCTGGTTCAAGCTGGCTGCTAATATTTAGAGAAAAAACAATGAGATAATTACAGACTACCGGTCATGTGACTGAAAGGAATGGGAGAATGGCAGCATTGACTAAAACGAGGGACAGATAATCTGTAAGTATGTCTTTCTATATGTCACGCATTGTCATTTAAAGAAAGAAATCTAAGAGAAGTGAGTTGGGTTTAATGCCGCTTAAAACATTATTCCAGTTATATCACGACGTGTCAGCTTAATGTGGGAGGAAAGTCCGAAGTGATGCAGGTCTCAGACGTTTGCCCCTTCGGTGAAACCCACGAGCCACGGGTATGGTGCTGACAAACCTAGAAACGTAATCGGGGCGAACCGGGATTTGAACACACAATCATAGGTTTCTGGCGTGCCCAATTATCGCAACTCTGTACAGCGAATCGCGGTGCCTTAGAGGACTGGGCCATCCATGCCCCAAATCTAAGAGAAACATGCAATATCAATCCTCAATGAACTCAACCTATTGTAAATACATGTATGATGTAATGTTATCAATATGTGACTCAAGAACAATGTTGCCATTCATCTAACCAATCAGCACTGAGCATCATGTGTAATTATATTTAGAGAGAATCTCACCCTGGTGTTATTTGATATGAAATATATCAATGAGTGTTGATGTATTTGATATCAAAAGACACGAGGTTAAGATTTTATTTATCATCCAACATCATTCTTCCAATTTTTTCCGTTTGTAGACAGTAAAAAGCAGTGTCTTAAATGTTATAAGTACTGGTTACAGCTTAAGTAGCAGAGCCATTAGTGATGTCATTTGATTGTGACATCATGGTAAAAATGATGTCAAAATGGTCTGTAAAGCATTGTGATGCAATTTCATTGCAGCAACATATACAATGTGGATATCACTTGATCTCACCCAAGCGATATCTCCTCTGGGAGCCAGTTTTGGATGAAAAATGATCTTAACAGAGTTTGAAATTTCACTACATCATATCACTACAATCTGTATACAATATTACACATTTACAGTATGTTTATGACGAGATATAGATATTACACCTCTGTTGGCGGTGTACGAGAGACTGCAGTATATACATCTACATTTCGTTTATGACGAGATATAGGTATCTCACCTCTGTTGGCGGTGCACGAGAGACTGCAGTATATACATCTACAATTCGTTTATGACGAGATATAGGTATCTCACCTCTGTTGGCGGTGCACGAGAGACTTCAGTATATACATCTACAATTCGTTGATGACGAGATATAGGTATCTCACCTCTGTTGGCGGTGCACGAGAGACTCCAGTATACACATCTGGTAGAACTGAGGTGACAACGCCCGCTCTGGGAGATGACATTCCTGCAACACCATGACAGCAGCACTGGGACCAATGGTCTTCACCATCAGCTCACCGATTCCCTCCCATGTCAGACTGTTGGACCAATCAGAAGCTGGCCTAGAGGACAGCGAGTCTGTGTACTGGTGCAGAAAGTAGTGCCACTCTTCTGCTGTCTTCGGGAGATAACCTGAGAGGAAGAACACCAGACGCAGGAATGAGGCTGTCAATCCCCTTTAGACATAGGGGCACAAATTGAATTGTATTTGGTATGCAGATTCAACACTTTAAAAAAAGTATATGAAGTATGTTTTCAGGAATGTAACTTCTTTTTCAATGGTTTTGTCATTTGTGTTACGTAGTATTCAGGATTCCTGGTTGAGCAATGAGACTCGTGGTGAGAAATTAGATGGTATTCTGGATACAGAGAGGGGGATATGCATCCATCCAATCATATTCTAAAGAGTCCTGTTTGATGCAATATATTTTTTATCAGTCAGTTAACATCCATGGGACTGGAACAGAAATGTTTCAAAACTGTTCCAAACTAAAATAAAAACTCTTTTTCTTTGACTTATTTTGGGCAATCAATATATTGTAGACTGATAGGTAAAATCATGCATGACTCTCTAAATTGTGCAGACATCGATCTGTCTTCATGATTAGTTCACATGTGTGCTTTGTGGAACTAAATACAGATTCTTCCAGTACATTTCATAAAAAAAGACATCAGGTTGCTTCGTGACCTCACCATAGGAGTGTGAATCATCAAGGAGAGTGATGTCACCCAGTTTCACAATCAGTTGTAACATCTGTTGCCATGACGACATACTTTTCTTCTTCCACAACTGCAGACAACCTGCCCAGTAGCTGAAATGTATAAAGCATATCAGACATAAATCTGGGTAGTGTCTCTTGCATTTTCTTTTCAGCAGACATCATTCTGTGCTTTGTAACCAGAGTTATCTATATGGCAGACGTGATTCTGGATTTTGTCCCTGGAGTTATCTGTTAGCAGATGTGATTCTGGATTTTGTCCCTTGAGTCTCCTATGCAGAAGACTTCATTCTCGGTTGTGTCCCCAAAAATCTCTAGTGTTGTATGTGTGGAGGTTTCTGGTAGATACTGTAGACAACATACCACTTGTTACTTGATAGTTCAGTCTAAATCAAAGTATTACCATCATTTCATAGTAACAATGTCTCTACAATTCTGCCCGGGACAGTAATTGGTGTGTGAGGGAGTGACTAGCATTTCATGCTGCCATTCTTCCAGCAGGGACCACCAGAAACCGGTTACACACGTTGAAACCATTTGGCAAACTGTATCTGTATCCTTAGCATGATGAGCCAACTCTTTAACCATAATCTACCCTACTGCTCCTAGCAGTAATTACAACATCTCAACATAGGCATCAGTCCATGTGCAAAGCCTCATTTACAAGTTGTTTGACATTAAAAATTGATTGGTGACCATGTTACCTCTGTTTTTCGCACACACTGAGAGTCGCATCAAAGTCTTGTTCTGCACAAAGGTCAAGGACACAGTCAATGAGGTCTCCATCAGCTTTCTTGATCATGTGACTTCCTGGTCTGTGAGAAATGCATCAACTGTTATGTGTGTTCATGATTTAGCTGCAGTGATGATCTCCGGCTGCAATCATTACTTTGTTTTAAAAATGTCTACAGAGTCATACTACAAACTACAGTTCTCAGTATATTACCGGTTCAATAAATTCACCTAATCACAATATTCCAGTGACTACAAGTACATTTGTTAGTCACCTCTTGATCAGATGGGGTGAACTAATATTTCTTCTTTCACTTTTCAGATTTTTGTAAGTGGCCATTTGTAACTACCTTGGCTGAAGACTGTCCACGTTAGCGGCGGGCTGTCCGGTCAGCAAACTGTCCAGTAGTGCCAGCCTCAGATACTGCCGGGCACACAACTGTTTCACAACCTGCAACCTGCAATCAGGGAGCACAACATACAATGTCACATTAGTGCAGTAATGGCTTCCTTATAGTGCCATAAGGACATGTGTGACCCACCTGAGACACTAACTAAAACTACCAGAGATCTGATATACGCTATCTGAGACATGATTTTACAAGGTGAGGTGAAATGGGGTTTAACGTCGCGTCCAAGATTATTGCACTTATATAGCGACGTGCATGCACGTGTATGTGTTTGTGTGGTTGCTTGTATTAGTCCGGACTGATGCCGATTTATAGTGCTAGCTCACTGAGATACAATGCCGCAGTTTAACATGAATACCCAACTCAGACACAGTATACTGACTCCGAGCCGACCAGTCCTTGATTTAGCCCCTTAATGCCAAGTGCCAGACAGGGTAACAACAAGTACTATCTTTTAAGGTCTTTTGGTATGACGATCCCCGGACCTTCCGCACTCCGGGCGGACGCTCTACCACTTGACCACGGAGGCGGTCTATGACGTTACGAAAGAAGTGATGTGTCACAAGAGATATGATGTGATGTACCTGAGAAATGATGTGACGACCTACATAAGGAATGATGTGTTACAAGATATACGTGAGCTACCTGAGATAGGATATGACTTACCTGAGATATAATGTGACCTACTTGAGATAGGATGTGACCTACCTGAGAAATGATGCGAACTACCTGAGGTAGGATGTGACCTACCTGAGAAATGATGTGACTTACCTGAGATATGATGGCATCTCTCCAAGTCTCAGGTGGACATATTTGGTAATACTGATGGTAGTTTGGTTGCCATAGAGATGACAGAGGTTCAAGATGTCTTGCACTGAGACCTGTTTTGGGACCTCTGCTGCGAACTCTATAGCACGAGACGAGCTAGCACCGAACAATCTAAAAATACAACAGGTTCAATTCATGTCTGTTTATATTCATTATGTTTATAGAAAAAGAACATTTTACCATCATATACGGTAAACCTGAACTCTTATGAAGTATAATGCCTGACAATTTCTAGGGGTGCCACGATACGCCTATGAACTGATACGACACATATCATGATACTTTATTCGTGGAAATTTGGCATAAATTTGTATATTTCATACGGCATACATTCTATTAAAAAGGTTTGAAACTTCCTGAATATCTGGTCTCATATTTGAAACAAATATATCTCATTTCAATCAATAATTTATTTCAGATGAAAATGGAGCGTAAATTTTGGTATTTTCTATTACTAAACAGAACAGCAAATTCGCTGTACGCAAAATACCTAGAAATTAAAAAACATTAGGTCAATGTGTGAATTGATACAGGATTAACATATGAATCAATACAGGTATTTGTTTATTGTGTATGGTACCATTTGAGAATATTATCGATGTGTTGATGTATTGGTAAATCGTGACATCCAAAAGTGAAAGCCATGAGTATGGTACTGACAAAACAAGCATCAAAATCAAGGTGAAGCTGGTACTTGAACCCAAATCAGCAGATCCTGGCACCTCAAAGGGATGCAACTCTAAAATTTAAACACCCTGGCCACAGGTTGCCCAGTGGCTACATCAAGCCCATCCGATGAATACAATCGTTTCAAATACTTCAATCTCTACCATCAAATACAAATCTACCATCTTGCATTTTGGTCTTTAAACATAATGCAGCATGAAATAATCTGCTTTGATTTTTTGGCTATGACTTGTTTGATGTTAAAGAATGTTTTACTGCACCCCTCTCTGGATGCGGGTATGTGCGGGTCATGTTGGTAGAAAAGCAAACAAAAAAGCCTGGTATTCAGCACCTGGCAACATGGCCGAGGAAGGCGTGTTTGTTTGGCAGGATGAGAGATCGGAGGAGGTCGGTAGCACCGTTGTAGTCTTTTGCCAGGATCTTATCACAAACGGGGTCACCTTCTCCAAGTTCTTGGAAAATAAAGCATGTTGTCATGACCAATGGAACTGAGACTTCATACAATCATGATGCAAATAAAATCTTTCTAATTGATGATCAGCTATTAAAATACTTTTGTACAGAAAAAAGCTATCTTTGCTGCAGAGCATGATATATCACAAAGAGCCATTAAATATTTTCATGATTGATTCATCACAAAATAACATATCAACATTTGTCATTGACCTGGAAATTGGGCTTACTACATTATCTTGTCTTATCTCTGTTATATGTTTTATAAATACTAAATGAATTCTTTGTTTGTTCATTTGTTGTTTAACGCCGCACTCAGCAATATTCCAACTATATGATGGCGGTACTAAATGAATGCAGTTAGGACAGTCGACTGTGTCTCACCTTGGCTCGCCTTCACAATGGAAGTCCATGTCTGCTGCCAGTTGTTCCTCCAGCTACTTACAGTCTTCCGGAGCTGATCCATACTTAAACAGTGGTAGTAACATCTCACAACAGTGGCGACCTCACGGTCACATGCATCACAGTACACTTCACACATAAAGCCATCATTGTGGCCGGGGCTGCCAGAGTGTCCCTGAGTATCTGCTGCTGATTGTGTTGGCATGGATGGACTGATGGATGGACCGATGGATGGACTGAATGGACCGATGGATGGACTGATGGACTGATTGCCTGACTCACTGCCCTCGGTAAGAGTAACTCCAGAACTGGAGTTGGCACTCGGATGCCTATTTGCCAAATTTGTCAACATGTATTCTGATATATTGCCATGACAACCAGACTCAAAACAAAGGGCACACAACTCTGAAACATCTGTATGTAGTTTTGTTGACATTTTAAAGGGATCGTTGATATGATTGATGTCTGCCCAGTGGATGGGTTCTAACCGGTCGGGATCCTCTTCTTCACTGCCACTCATATCAGAGTAGCCTAAATTATTACCATGTTCAAGGGGTGCAGACTGTGCCTCCTCTATACTGGAATTTCTACAACTGGATTTGTCTATTGGCGATGATGGACAACCATCTCTGTCATCATGGTTAAAAGAGCTGTCTCCATCACCCATCACATCCAGCTCAGTGGATGAACCTCTCTGCCCTACAGAACCTTCATGTGATGATTGGGTCTCTACAGGTTTAGCACCACTGCCATGTTGTTCTTGACTGAAGACTTCATCTTCTGTGTATTCTGGTTCATCCTTACTTCTGTCTTTCATCAGGATGGCTTTCTTTTCACTGCAGAGTTGCCTCCTCCTTGATTTCCTGGCCATGACCTTGACCTTCCTCTGCTGTTCAACCTCCTGGTGAAGCTTCTGCAGCACCCTGTGAAGTCCTGTCATCCAGTCCCGCAGGAGCGACCTGACAGACTCGGGATTCATCAGCACAGTGATGTCCTGGAGCTTCCTCTTGGTTGATGCTGTGGAAGACTCCAGCTCGGTGAGATCAACTGATCCTGAGAACCTACTCAGAGGATTCATGGAAGACGAACTTTCTGATTCTGTTCTGTTTGTGACATCAGACTCAGGATCTTGTTTCTCTCTTTGGCCAGTTGTCTCCTGAAAGAAACAAACCGTTATAAACAACTTATTTTACCTTAAGAATATATAAATGTTGCATCACGTGACTGGTTCAAACTCAGATCATTTGATCAAAGGTCTGGTGTCAGATGGCCAATAACAAGCAGACAAAGCTAACTTTCATTCGAGTAGAGGGTCTCAGGACATACACTGTAAAAATGTGCAAATGAAGACAAGGGTCTACAGAGAACAAGATGCTTCTAAATATGTCTGCCCACTACTCGTAAGCTGGAATACAGTGGGCTACAGGCTGTCTGGGGTCTACAGAGAACAAGATGCTTCTAAATATGTCTGCCCACTACTCATAAGCTGGAATACAGTGGGCTACAGGCTGTCTGGGGCACCTCTTGAGTGGAGCAGTAGGGACCAAGTGTTCTTAGGCACCATAGCTCTCTGTGCTCAGTCCCTGTGCCATGCCAGACTATGCTTGCAATTCCTTAGTCATGCCTGGATTAACTTGCCATGGGTTTGGAACCTGGATATACCATGATTTAATGACCCAAGGACAGCCAGTTCAATGCCCATGCTCATGGGTGTCCACAAAAAGGTAAATGTCGCATGGTTCACCTCGGGCCTTCCTCCCATTTGCTGACATCCCATTATTGGTCACGTCAGGACGTCCGTTTGTTCAGTTTGCATATTTTGAATCGTAAACATTGTCAAAATATTTGTTAAAGTGTAGTCTGGAATGGAAGTCGCCAATTTGAAACTAGTGTCCTATAGTTCAAGAAAGCTACTTTCTGATTGGCTAATGTTGACTTGGTAGTCATTTCATTGGTCGGTCAAAGTTTGCCATAGGTTGTTCTGACTTGACCTATAATGAAATGTTCTTAGATCTTGTTTAGCAGTAGCAAGAACTAACATCTGATTTTAATGAGATTCACATGCTGTTATATAAGGGAGTAGTTCAATAGTTCATGTAATAGTTCACTAGTTGCTGTGTCTGTCCCTAAATATTTCTATCAAAGGTATAGAAAGGAATTGAGTGAAAGAGCTGTCAACTTGAACACTTCAAAGCTCAGCCACATCAACAGCTTTTTGTAGGCCAAATAATCTCATTTTGCGAGAGGGTTGGGGCAGATCTCAAAACTTCAGTTTCATACACGACACTGCACATTTGAACTGCTCCCTATCAGAAATACAGTTCATGGCAGCGATAAGGTACACTAAACCTCTCACCTGTTGTTCTGGGTCAGCCTGATCTTGCATGTTGTTGGACTTGCTCAGCGGGCTCTTCTTCCGGATTGTCTGCATGATGGACTTGGTCTTGCTGGAGAACTTTAGGGAAAGACTAAAAAACATAGCAAATACAGTGAGTGTAAGTGACCGTTTTCTAACAGTCAGCAGCATTACAGCTGTCACACAACCTCCACACATCTCAGCCTGGACCATGTATCTGATAGCATGCCAATCATCCATGAAGTGAGCGAGTTATATACAAGATGTCATGTTCATGTCATACCAGGGGTCGAGAAAATTCAAAAACCCAATCGGACAGTTGCATTTAGTCCACGCCCCCTTCAAATAGCGTATTTTCGTACGACTTTTCACACACATTACAAGTTGTTACGTACTGTGTTCCCTCGTTATTGAGTGCTTCGGTTATAGCGTGGTAAAGCATGGCTCCCAAAATTTACTAACATTTTTAGTAAACTCAAAACAACTATGTTTACGACACAAATGTCTAAATTCCGGTATTTCACGAGTGAGAGCGAGTATGACATGAACACGAATATAATGCTCTATTTACTGCCGAAGAAGATGTTTTCATACAGAGACGAATTTTAGAGTTTACCTATAAGGAAAGCAAGTTGCAACAGCAGCTGAATCACAACTTGTCAAATGACTTCAACAATCTTCAGCTATGACGTCATTTCTAGTGTGGACGTCATTCCGACCTCACGTCACAATAAGATTCAAATGACGTTAACAATGCCTTCCAGATGACGGAAACAATACACTGTTGTCTCGTGACATGATATGACCCTTGGGCACATAGATTTTTATGAACCCCGATATGTTTGCCGTCACAGGTAATAAATTCCAGTCATATCACAGTGTGTCAGCTTAATTTAGGACAAGCGCCCAAAGTGATAAAGGGCTTAGATATTAAACACTTTGGTGAAATCAAAAAGCACAGGTCTTGTGCTGACAAACATAATTGGTCGAACCGGAATTCGAACCCATGATCATAGGTCTCATGTGTGTCCAAGGGATGCAACTCTGCACAGCGAACAGAGGCACCTCAGACGACAGGGCAACCTGTGCTTCCACCATCCATGAAACACAACCAGGTTTAATATCTTATGTATAAATCTCTAAAACAAATAGTTTTCATACTTCTACCATGTGAGTGCAAATCGAATGCAAAAAATATTCCATCCATAAAAACAGATATACCTTTCCTTGACTGCTAGTAGGGCCATCTTTGGTGACTGTGAACTCGGTGATCCGCTTCCATTGCTGTCGACTGACTGCCCCAGGGAACTCTGGGATACAGGGGAGCCATCTTTGCTGTTGGTGGCGGAATCTTCTGCTGACACACCACTTGCAGACAGTCGCTGCAGGAGAGATGGAATCGGTTCTTCATCTATATGAAATATTGGTGTCCTTGATCGACTGTGAGTTGAATACAATGATAGGTTGTCACCTTCACCAATAGAAAGTGTGTCTGGAGTTATGTCCCCTGCACGACTGTGTGAGTCCTCATCAATGCTGCTGACAGTATCGATGGAGACAGTGTCATATTCTTGATCAACTTTCATATACAGGCTTCTGTCAGGGTCTTCCTCAATGATGGTGATAGATGAAACAGATTTCAATTCTGAAGACATGGAGGAAAGAAAAGATCACTAGACATGTCTTAGCCAACATATAGAGGATCTCAGCCTCGTGTAATTTGATATCAAATACATCAACACAAGCCAATAAAGGGTGAAAACTCTGAGGCTTGCTAATAAAAGTGCAAAATGTACAGCTAACCAACTTCAATGGCAAAGAGGTTAGTGATGTCATTTTACCGTGACATCAAGGTAACCGTTGACATCAGAATTGTCTGCAAAGCATTGTGGTGCAATTCACTGTGGCAATAACTCCTAGGAGACATCACTCGATCTCACATAAGCGTTATCTCTGTGGAAGCAGTTTTGGATGACAAACAACTAAACTACAAACTACAGTGCCACCACAACGTAATAATAAGAATCATGGGTAAGCAGAACATACCCTTTTTCTTGTTCAGTTTCTTGATGGATCCTGTGCTGGCTGATCTCTGGAGCTGGGCTTATGTGGAGACAGATACAGATATACAAGTCTAATAAGCAGGATAGATAATCAGGATAAAAATTAATGAACAATGCTTTGCTGTAGCTATATAACATTTCATCAAACAAATATTGGCAAGGATTGTTTTTATATATCCAATGTGGGATACATTTATACAACTTCTGGTTTATTGCAAACAACAACGTTTTGATGTAGATTCTTACACCATTATCAAGCTAGAGTGACACCAACCAAGTGATGAGATGTATATATGCATGACATGTTGTGACCAGCAGCAGGTTAACATTGAAAACCATGGTAATAGTTATCACAACATGTCATGCATATATACCTCTCATCACTTGGTTGGTGTCACTCCAGCTTGAAACGTCGCTATATGCAATAAACCAGAAGTTGTACGTTTTTCATACTTATTTTGCCAACTTTTAGAATGCCAATCAAACAGTTATCATTTTGTGGTTTGCTGACAAGAACAGACTTGGAGTAGCAGTTCTGCATCTGAGACTGAATGGCCTGAAAGTTTTGAATCACTGTCAAATGTTCTCCGGCAGTTTATTTTAGTGGCTCACTTTTGGTTTTCTTCACGTCAGAAGTCGAGATCCCAGGTGATGGAATATCCACCTGTGTGACTCGCTTCTTCCTGCCTGTCTTCCCCGATCTCCGCGACACCGCCTCCGCTATCACCGGCGCAACATCCTCCAATGCTGAGGAGAACAAGGCAAGGGTACAGGTTGGCGTCTATGGTTCAACACTGGTGGAAAGTCTAGCTACTCTTGGACTGACTGGATCTTGATTTACCATTTTCTGTATTATGTGTTTGGTATCATATGGAATATATGAGACCGCATGTACTGAAGAGGTTTCCACATGACAGTCCCAATTCAAGTGGATGTTGTGGTTGTAGCATCGGATAGGCGATCTGGCAGTTTATTACAGAAGATTAACATTACAACACCCATGAAGATCAAGGGTAGAATAGGTCTTTAACAACCCATGCTTGTCATAAAATGCTTGTCGTAAGTGTCAACTAACGGGATCGGGTGGTCAGGTTCGCTGACTTGGTTGATGCATGTCATCGTATCCCAATCACAAACAAATCAAGCGCTAGATGACAGTGTTCATACAAGCTGACAAGATGTAAGGGCCTTTGGGTCCACTTGTGACAAAAAGGAGGGGGTCATTTTAAAAAATAGGGGTCAATTTCAAAAGAGGAGTCACATTCCACTTGGTGATGCTTACTTTCAGCATGGTGTGTCAGGGTGCTTGTTTCGGAAACAATTACATCCTATCCCGTGATTGAATTGAATTTTTGGTTCTTAAGTGCATTAATTTCATTAATTTTCTGTCAAACAGCAACCAAAATTATAAAGCTTCTCTTGTTTCATCAATAGTGACAGCAATGGTTTTGATTGGCTGATCACCAAATTCAAAATTGGTGAGTTTGCCAGGAGAGTTTATGGTTGGGGTATGGTGCTAGTTGTTACCCTGCCTGGTGATTGACATTAAGGGGCTAAAACAAGGACTGGTCGGCTTGGAGGCAGTATACTGTGTCTGAGTGGGGTATTCACGTTAAACTATGGCATGGCATTTCAGTGGGATAGCACTGTAAAATCAACATTAATCCAGACTATTACAAGCAGCCACACACCCATTGCATGCATGCACTTCGCAATACAAGTGTAATAATCTTGAACACAACGTTAAACTCCATTTCACCTTCACCTTGAAACTTTATTTCAGTAAAGAACTGAACTGGGTCTTTAGATGTTTGAAACTACCACTGTTTTGATTTTCAGACATGAGGGTGGAAACATTCCCCAGATTACAGTGTACACCAATCATAAGATTGTTTATAAATGACAAGAGATAATCAAAGAGCATGTCTTAAACGTCAGACACTGCAACCAAGAGAGATACTTTCATTCCCAGACCTGTCAACCCCTCATCATGACAATGTGGGAGATTTGACTTCAAAATGGGGGAGATTTGCCTCAAAAGGGGGAGATTTTTAAGATAGTGAAGATAGGATAATTTCCAACTTTTATTTTTAATAATGTCACAAAGAAAACCAAATATTTTGAAACAATAAATAATCAATAAGTTTCTTATACGTACAGCTTGCTTAATTTCCGTTTGCATTTTCCTCCTCCAAAAATAAACCCAGCACAATCTACCCATATAACTTTCGTTCATAGATCATCTCAGATAAACGCAAACAGATATTGAAATTTCACAAACGGTAGCTTGACCAGTTGACGACGTGTGTGTTTGTGTTCAATCCGACCAGTTGTCAGGCTTCGTTACGATGCAGGTTTCCTGAGTATTTGGCGCGATGTTAGTTACAAAATTCGCCAAAGAAATATCAAATGCATTTATCCTGACGCAACATCAGCGCCCTTAATTTCAATAAGATATACTGTTTTTTTTTCTGTCTGCGGTAGTCTGTTGACAGTCCCATTACTTCGCTTCTTAAATTTCCTAGAAATGTTCACGTTATTCCATTCCAAGAAATGTATGCCATATTTGGAAGTACTACTATTTATGAATGAAATGAGTCTTGTTGTCGTTGTTGACCTTTCTGACCTTGACGTGTATTAATCTCATTGGTTGACTAGTACTGTTGTATGCAAATTAGATTGCAGATCTGGGACGCAAGCAAACTATTAGCCAATCAAATCGTGTAAAATAATCACATGATACATTCTCGCGAAATTTGATAAAGTTCTGTTTTGATATTTTCTGTGCAGACAAGTCACGATGTCAGTCAAAAGGAAATTTATAAGTTTCACTTTAAACTTTGACTTTGAAATCCTAGCTGTGAGGAAGCCTGATCGTGTAAGTCATTGTTATTTCGACTACTGAATCAACCAATCACGCATAGTGTTGTTTCTGAAGACGGCGCTTGCAGGACATATTTTGTTTTCATTTCCAAGAGTTCAATGAAGTAACTTTGAGGTATGTTGATGTTTTAACAAAGTTTCTGACAAATCTGATAACCAATAAAGTCATGTATAACTGGACCGGCCATATGTATCTACGTTCTTAAATTATGGAAGAATAAACACGCTAAGAACATGAAGACAACAGTTCATTTCATGAAGTGATGAATACTTGGCTGATTTTTCATTTCAAGTTCAACCCTTCAGGCACCTGTTAGGACTATCCGAGTTTTCTTAACAGTTTACATTGTTCAATCGTTCACCATATGAATTTAATTACCAGTTGATTACTGGACAAAGGCCCATCTGGGTCCCCCTGCGGGTGGCTGTGATAAGGGTCGCTAATCCGGGAGCCTACCGGACAGATGGGGACGCAAACTTCCCGTTCATTGTTTTTACTCACGGGACAATGGAGGCGAATTTTTTAAATAATGAAGAATTCTGTTTTGCGGGAGAAATAGTCCATCTTGCGGGAGACTGGGAGATTTCATCAAATTGCGGGAGTCTCCCGCAAAATGCGGGAGGGTTGACAGGTCTGCATTCCTGTGCTATGCTATGAGAGTGTAATGAAGTGTCAACCTTTGTGATGAAACTTGCTTCGTAACATTGCATACTGCTCACTTAGTATTAACATCAGCAAACAAAGCATGTTGATGAAAGTTAATGTCACGTTGAGGTGTATGAGATTCCTTCATATTAGAAACCATGTGCCAACTGCTGCACGTGGGTGATAATTTTTGAGTCATTATTGAAATGTGCTCTAGAATGAACACTGAAAATATATCCTACGTGTAGAACTTGCGAGTTCCGATATACCATCCTCAGCACTATAAACTCCATGCCATTTTGTCTTGCCTGGTGATATTCCCTGATGATGTTAAATATACAGATTGTCTTACCTGGTGATAAGCTCTGATGAGGCTTAGAAGGCACTTGATTCCGATTCTCATCATCTGTCATTTCCTCCTTGGAAGAGTTATTGCCCTTTAATCTGTCATGAGAGTTATTCCCCTTTAACACCTTTCCAGAATTCTGTTCCCTGATTTCCTCAGTGTCTAAATCCACATCAACAAAGTTATCACGTTGTGATTCACCATTCTGACTTTCAGGTTCGTCCCTATGAAGGCTAACATTACTTGATTGAGTCCCTTCCTTCTCCATACCCACAACACGGTGTCTCTCATCTCTCATTGTGTCCAAGTCTGTGGTTGAATAGGACCTCTTCATTCCACTTTCTCCCTCTGCATCTAGATACTGGGAGCCACACTTGGAGCCGGAGTCCAGATTGTCCATGCTCATGTACCGCAGGAGCATTTGATCCTGCTGGGCGGCCATCTTGTTTTCTCCTCCACGGACAGTGAACCTTGCCAGCACACTGTCTGCTGGGTTGTAAAGCTCCTCTTCAAGGGATGGTTTGTGGGCATTGTTGACGAGGAATATCCCAGAAGGAAGTTTGACAGCGGAGTCTAGAAAGGTTGACTGACCATCAACGACGTCCCCATTCGTGCTGTCCGATTCTGTGGAGTCACTCAAGTTGGACATCTCATCTACAATAGCTGTTGACAGAAAACAGGTTACTGATGAGCAAGTTCCCAGAAAGCACTATTTCTATGAACGTTGGCTGTGCTATTTTTCAGAATTCAGTAAAATACTCATAGAGAATTATATAACCCAGTCAATATTTGTGCATGTATTTCCTTCTTACTGATTGGTAACTTGTCAATGATCAAGATGAAGGGTCACATTTGTGACCAGCTCGCCTGTAAGACTGATGCCATTTTAAAACTACTTTACTACATACAATGCTATCTTGATCAATTCTCCTAGTGGACCTCTCTCACATAATCCAAAATACAAACATGTTGCTTCTTTAGCTTTTGACACAATTTTGAAAAAATCTTTCACAAGAAATGGACATTTTTCAGAGGAACCTCCATCCACTGCTAAGTGTGTATCTTTTGTTATAACACCTCAGTCTTCAATGTTTTTCTTCTAAATGTTCCAAATTCTCTCTTACTCTCCCCATAACAAATGACTGGCCAATGATCGCTCAATATTACAAATGACCAGTGTCTAAGACTAACTTCATGTATAACAAATGACTGGTCTCTAAAACTGATCACTTAACATAACCAAACACTCATCACTCAAATATAATAAATGATCGGTCCCTCACATTCATCAACATAACAAATGACCAGTCCCTACCACAAGCTTATCACGCCATAATACTTTAACTCATCGAGTTGTGTCTGACTTGCCTTGAACTCTGTCAGCAGTGTGGTCGTGGCCGTCATTCAGCAGCTTGCTGACCAGCTCTGACAGGGAGCCCAGTTTGATATGTCTCTGGATGAAGGGCACAGCAACAAAGTTGTCAAGGTAACACAGCAGTTCCCCAGCAACCGACCACACCTGTTTGGCCAGCAGCAGCTGCAGACATCGCTCCACTGGGAGGAGGTGCAGGCGGCACAGAGACTGGTCCTCCAGGAAGATGTAGATCTCTGTACCGCTCGTCACCATGTCCCGCACACCTGTCAGTCAAATAATGGAGTGAGAGTCAATGAGTGAGTGAAATAGTGGAGTGAGTCAATGAGTGAAATAGTGGCATGAGAGAATCGAGTGAGTGAGTGAAACAGTGGAATCAGAGGTGAGGTGAGATGGGGTTTAACATAGTATTCAAGATTATTGCACTCATATAGTGGGAATTACTGTTGATTTTACAGTGCTAGCCCACTGAGATACCATGCCGCAGTTTAACATGAGTACCCCACTCTGACACAGTATACACTAAGCCGACCAGTCTTTGTTTTAGCCCCTTAATGCCAAGCACTAGGCAGGGTAACAACAAGTACCATCTTTTAATGTCTTTAGGTATGACGCATCCAGGGATTGAACCCCCGACCTTCCACTCTCCGGTCAGAGCTCTATCCACCAGGCCATGGAGGTGTTTGAGTGAGTGAATGAAAATGTGGAGTGAGAGTCAACGAGTGAGTGAGTGAAATTGTGGAGTGAGAGAGTCAATGAGTGTGTGAGTGAGCCTTGAGTGATTAGCAAAGTGCATATGATTTTACACCAATTTTAGTGATATAACGTATAACAGTATAACAGATTGTACACTGGAGATTCGAACCAGGAACTTCTGCATGACAAGCCAACCACAAGGCTACTCCACCATCCTGAGGTTATTACAGCTATAATATTGCAGCATGTAGGCGATCAAGTCTGGACCAGACAAACCAGTGTTTGTTTGTTTTTTTGTTGTTTTTTTAACGCTGCATTCAGCAATATTCCAGCTATATGACCGCAGTCTGTATATAATCAAGTCTGGACCAGACAATCCAGTGATTGGTATCATGTGCATTGATCTACACAAATGGGCCAGGTGACATGTATCACCCAAGTCAGTGACCTGACCAACCGATCCCGTTAGTTGCCTCTCACGACAAGTATAGTCACATTTTACGGCAAGCATGGGTTGCTGAACCCGGATATTCACGTGCCAGACAAACCAGTGAATGATAGCATGAGCAATAATTCAACTTGGCAATTCATAACACAACATAGCACATCATAACCACTCAATTATCATTACAGTAAGCTCTTATGACAGCCATTGAGGACTGTGGGCTTCGTGTCTTGTCTGCCCTAAAATGAGTGAATTCCTATAAAATTGCTGCAAACTATCTTGCCCGATAACTGTTGGACTTACCGGCAGGCTGTTCATTCCACAGTATGATTCTGACACGTACTGGGTCAAACACATACACCCGGCGACCGGACCATGTTATTAGATATGGACTGGAAAACAAAATAACATTTGAACTGTACCTTTATCTGAAGCAAGAAACAGGAATGCTGGGACCGACTAGAGACACTCACAGCCAAGACATTGTGGACTACAGAGTGGGTACAGCCCAGTCCACAAGTGACAATATTTGTCATATCATTTCCCAGAGCTGCTGTGATACCTACTTCTACAGACTGGATGGGAGAAATTTGGCCACCCTCCTAGCAGAGTTTCTTGTGGTCAAACTAGTACCTCTGCCACAGGCCACAGAGCTGTGACGATTCTTCACATTTTACTCAGTCCATTCAACAAACTACATTTGTTTTTCAACTATTTCATATTTGAAGAGTCTAAGGAATAGGTTAGCATATGTCATGATATTATTAATTTCCATTAAGCAAATAACCTAAAACTATTTCCATTTGCTTTACAATGGCTGTGCAGTTCCATGTGCAGACACCAAAGCCCTTCAGAGAACTAGCGATACAGTCACCTTGATGTGTAAAGCTATATTGTCATGCTCTTCAATGTTCTAGGTGTAGTAGCAGATCTACATAATCATGCAAAACAATCTGTAAAACGCACTTCTACTCGACCATACTGCCATTAATTCAGAATAAAAGTGTTCATTTACAATCCAGAAAAGAGTGGTCGCGTAATATGTACATTATATTGTGACAGTGGCCTGAGATGCCGCAAGTACACAGTAAGATTTGCCTATGCAGGAAACACATATCAGCTGTACTCACCCAAGCCGGCAGAGTTTGTTGAAGCCGACGGATTGAGCGGTGTAGACTTTGCTGGGGTCGGCAAACTCCACCACAGGGTCGCTACAACACACACAGTAGTCATGTTACAGGTGCCATCAATCAATGTTTTCATCAATTCTGAATCAGTTATGGATGTTTTCATTCTTAATGGTAGGAATGTGATGAATCTGTTTGTCTTTGCGACTTGATATTTAACCAATGATGTCACAAATTTCTTTACCACCAGGTGCATTATAATGTAAGGACTCCATACATGTTTATTTGTTATTAACATATTTACTTTGAAGAAGGGCTGTTCATTCTTTAAGTTAATCTCCTGTAGAGCTAGTCCACATTTGTAGCACACAAATCCTAAGTGTTGCTGGGTAGGGTAATCTTCAATACCATCAGAGGTGTACAGTATTACCAGTATAGCAGTACACAATGATTGGAAATACTTATGAATAAGTATCACAACATGTATATTTCATATAATGCATTTTTTTATTTTGTTGGCAAAACTTATATAAGTCGAGATGAATTATTAAATTCAGAAATTAGAAACCAATTTCTGTGATCGAAAAAGCTAACATATTCGCTACCAGCTTCCTGTATATAATGTTTCTATTATGCATGCATTGTGACCATTGCCAGTGTACAGGGAAAGTCCAAATTATGGGTCTATATTTAATCAGATGAAATATAACAGATGAAAAACTTCATACAACATATTGTGGTACAAACCACAATACATGAATTATGATTGCAATAAATTGCAATATGAAAGTCGGGCCAATATCCATCAACAACTACCACAGAATTACATATTGAATAATGGAGATACTGTACTCTGAATTTACAGATTGCCGGGACTCACTGGAACTTGATGACAGGTAGCGGAGGTATTGCCAGCAGCTGTTTGAACTGATGGGTGTTGAGCACGTTGGCGTCAAAGTCCACCTGAAACAAAAATATCGGGTGAGGAGACACCAATACTTTCTACTACAGCTCTCAGGGAAGAGGAAGGGGAAGGGGGGGGGGATGGGGAGGGAGAAGGGGAAGGGGGACGGGGGAGATGAAAGGGTGAGATGGGTGGCCCAGTCGACTATGGTGCCGCAATTTGCTGTGCAGAGTTGCGTCTTTAAGACATGACAGAAACCTGAGATCATGGGTTCAAATTCTTGTTTCTAGGTTTGTCAGCACCATACCTGTGCTCGTGAGTTTCACCAAAGTGGTAAATGTCTGAACATGCATCAATTTGGACTTTTCTCCCACATGAAGCTGACACGCCATGATATAACAGCAATACTGTTCAAAGTGGCGGTTTATCACTCATATCACAGCTTAATTTTGGAGAAAATATGATGTGATGCATGTCATAGACATTTACTCCATTGGAAAAAAACACAGGCACTTTTAGGGTGCCAACAAACCAAATATCAATATTAAAACCAACTACCATAGGATTCCGACATGCAGGAGGATTGCAACTCGGCACAGTGAACTGTGACGCCTGGTGGCTTGGAAGGAACTACTGCTATTATAGTGCACTGTCCAGTGACTGACATATCTTCATACCTCCCAGACGCGAGAACCAGGCCGGGAGCAGTAGATGACAGGGTACTGTGAACTGGGCTCCAGGAAGAAACACGACCCATACTCTCCATCTCTGAAACATGCATAGCTTGATTAAACTTGCTGACAGTGCAGTAATAAAGAGAAATTTCACAACTTGGTTTGTCTACCAAGCCTGAAGATCTAAGTTAAAAAATTTGATTTATTATGAGGTTATGTTTTAAATAACACTGAAACGTCTAACAACATTTCAATTAACATACCTCAGCTTTTTTCCTATCTGAGTATACTGTTGTCTGGAAAAGAGAAAATGGTAGGATATTAACAACAGGAAAACATACAAGGGGATTTTCAATTCACTTTTAACTGTTTTGCATTCTATAAGTTGGTTCGCAAGTAAGAAAACGTACAACTTTATGGATAACAACTGGTTTATTACATATAGCAATGTTTTGATGTAGATTCTTACACTGCTATCAAGCCGTCACTATATGCAATAAACCAGAAGTTGTTATCCATTAAGTTGTACGTTTTCTTACTCAAACACTTTTGTCAGAAGCTATTCAGTAACCACTTCGTAAACCAAACCTTACTTCTGCTTCTACGAATTATGTCTGACCATGATGGTCAAACTTGGAAGTTCTAGCAGAATGGGTGACCAAACAAAGAAGAGCTCTAATCTGGTGAAGGTGTGAAGAGTGAGTGAGTGTGATTTTACGCTACTTTTAGCAATATTCCAGCAATACCACGGCGGGGTACACCAGAAATGGGCTGGTGAAGGTGTGAAGAGGTAGTTCTGGTATGAAGGTAAGATATATAGCCTGCAACTGATGGCGATGTCCTACCTGGTGGTGTTGGAGAAGTAGCTCCTGGTGAGAAGATGGGTTACAGAGCCTAAAACTGTTGACAGTGTCTTATCTTTGGTGTGGAGTAGCTCCTGACGAGAAGGTAGACGACAGAGCCATCATGGTGATAACCTACCTGTTGGTGTTAAGGAGGTTGCTCCTGGTGAGAAGGTGAGCTACAGAGCCTACAACTGATGGCGATGTCCTACCTGTTGGTGTTGAGGAGGTAGCTATAGAGCCTACAACTGATGGTGATGTCCTACCTGTTGGTGTTGAGGAGGTAGCTATAGAGCCTACAACTGATGGCGATGACCTACCTGTTGGTGTTGAGGAGGTAGCTCCTGGTCAGTGTGGACGCCAACAGCTTGTCCCCCCACCAGTCCAGTTGCACCACCGTAGTGTCCAGACGCAGGATGATTTCAGATGGCTGGAGGAACAGGGTCTTGGCCTGATGGCAAACATCACATCAGCTATGGTTAATTGAATCTGGACCAGATAAGCCAGTGATGATATTATGAGTAACAATCACAGCTGTCAGGGCACGATGACATGCAATGAACCAAGTGACTGAGTCTGACAACCCAATCGATAAATCCACAAATTCTCACCTGGACTCCCCATAGGGGAAGTAGCTGTGCCATACAGGTTCCTCATGCAGACAGTTAGGAAAATATGTGATACTTCTTATGTCAATAACAATTGAATACAACTGTCTTTAATCCTAAATGTGTTATCAAGGTGAAGATCCTGCATATTTGAACTCATATTTTATTATAAATAGCAAACAATATGAACCATAAAAAAGATTGTATAATGCGTACATCTAGCAAAATCTTTTAGGGTAAAATAACATTTATACTTATCCTGACTCATACTAATTGCATATCTCCAAAAAGGTAGTGGAAACTCCTGTCCTGTATTCCCAGGAACAGAGCCGCACTGGAACAATGTGGCCAAGCCAGAGTCACTCTCTCATTTCGCTTACTCATACGGTCGAAATATGTATACTGATTACGAAATAACACCAACTTTCCTCCTCTGAAGCCGGAGAATTTCTTGTCCTTAGCCTTCTATATTCCAATGAAATGGCTCTAAAAGTCGGTCCTTTGTATGAACTGTTTGAACATAGAGTTCATGGCTTGGACCGATTTAATTGACATCTGGTCCTTGGAATCCTGTACGACTTCTTTACTGAAGCCACGGATCTGACCGTTGAAGGTAGTAGGGGAATCCCAATGAGGGGTGACGGTGAGAAGTGTGAGACACGTCATTAGAGACGGGAGTAGATGCAGTAGATGGCGAAAGTGGTTTGCTTAGTGTGTGTTGATGCTGCATAGTAAGGATCACTTGCTGTGTATCATTAGCTATGAAGTCATTGGAAGGAGGAGGTATAGTATCTTGTTGATAAAAAGCAGGTTGTGTGAACATGGGAGGCTGTGCCTGTGTAAGTGCTGAGGCCTGCGTGACTGCTGAGGCCTGCGTGACTGCTGTGGGTTGCGTGAACAGCAGGGGTTGAGAGAAGGTCTGAGGCTGCAGGAATTGACAGTACCTAATCGAAAATAACCAAAATCAAACGCTCCCAAAAATCATGCAGGCTCGTAGAAGCCAGGTTACTGATTCATACCCACCGATTTGAGAGTCCATGCTCCCCAGTTTTACCATGTAATTCAGAGCATGATAATAACGATTGTGTCAAGATTATGACCTTTACTTACAACGAGAATCATTCTAAGTAAGCTGTAATATAATTCTATGCGCGCTTACAAAACCCACGAAATCTCTTGATTTTCTCCTGCTCTCACAAGTACGGAGGTGGGGACCCACTACAGATTGGTGTCTTAGAAGAATTAAGAAGGCATTCCCATGGTGTTAATTGAACAGATCATGATCTGAGTCACCCATACGACGGATTCGGGTGAGATGCACGGGAGTTTCCACTACCTTTTCGGAATTAGAAGAGATAAGCAATTAATATACTTCGGGATAAGTTTAAAAGAATTTTTTTACCCCAAATATACCTTGTTTTGCTCCATACAAAAAAAAATATGCTGGATATGCAATAATAATGAATAAGACTTTGTTCTATCGTAGTACAAGTATACTTTGTCTATTCTGTAGTGTATTACCAAATGTCATCCCAGGTAGTGGAGGGTATTATGTTGTTTTGTATGATGAAACCACTAACCTTTGATGAAGGTATGTAGCACACAGTGATCTTGCCGACATTGTCGCCCACAAATAACTTGGAGTTGTGTCCTCCCCACTGAAGGCAGGTGACGGTACACCCAACATGGTCTGACGTTAGCCGAACTCGTTCCGGCTTCTGTCGCTTCTCTATGTTCATCTCCATGACAACCACCTGCCCCGACCTGCATGACAGTGCAGCATGGGTCACTTCTGTCTTGTAATACTCAGGGAAAGTATTTATTCTCATCATACCAGTATATAAAATCTTTTTCCACTACTCAGGTAGGCAAAGATACTTTTGTATGAACTGGGAGATTAGGAACTACACATATGTTAATTACAGTCAGTATTGATGAAAAGACAAGGCTATGTTACAACTTAAAGTATAAAAACAGTTACAGCAATTCTTGGTGCTCTGAGTAGGGGCCCATTGCAAGTGATCTGTAGCACCACAGCTGTGCTGTGAAGGATCTGCTAGTGATGTGGAGGATCTGCTAGTGATGTGGGGGATCTGCTAGTGATGTGGAGGATCTGCTAGTCATGTGAAGGATCTGTTAGTCATGTGGAGGATCTGCTAGTCATGTGAAGGATCTGCTAGTGATGTGGAGGATCTGCTAGTCATGTGGGGGATCTGCTAGTCATGTGAAGGATCTGTTAGTCATGTGGAGGATCTGCTAGTCATGTGGGGGATCTGCTAGTCATGTGGAGGATCTGTTAGTCATGTGGAGGATCTGCTAGTCATGTGGAGGATCTGCTAGTCATGTGGGGGATCTGCTAGTCATGTGAAGGATCTGTTAGTCATGTGGAGGATCTGCTAGTCATGTGAAGGATCTGCTAGTCATGTGAAGGATCTGTTAGTCATGTGGAGGATCTGCTAGTCATGTGGGGGATCTGCTAGTCATGTGGAGGATCTGTTAGTCATGTGGAGGATCTGCTAGTCATGTGGAGGATCTGCTAGTCATGTGAAGGATCTGTTAGTCATGTGGAGGATCTGCTAGTCATGTGAAGGATCTGCTAGTCATGTGAAGGATCTGTTAGTCATGTGGAGGATCTGCTAGTCATGTGAAGGATCTGTTAGTCATGTGGAGGATCTGCTAGTCATGTGGAGGATCTGTTAGTCATGTGGACGATCTGCTAGTCATGTGGAGTATCTGCTAGTCATTTGAAGGTTTTGCTAGTCATGTGGAGGATCTGCTAGTCATGTGAAGGATCTGTTAGTCATGTGGAGGATCTGCTAGTCATGTGGAGGATCTGCTAGTCATGTGAAGGATCTGTTAGTCATGTGGAGGATCTGCTAGTCATATGGAGGATCTGTTAGTCATGTGGAGGATCTGCTAGTTATGTGGAGGATCTTCTAGTCATGTGGAGGATCTGCTAGTCATGTGGAGTATCTGCTAGTCATTTGAAAGATTTGCTAGTCATGTGGAGGATCTGCTAGTCATGTGAAGGATCTGTTAGTCATGTGGAGGATCTGCTAGTCATGTGGACGATCTGCTAGTCATGTGAAGGATCTGTTAGTCATGTGGAGGATCTGCTAGTCATGTGGAGGATCTGCTAGTCATGTGGAGTATCTGCTAGTCATGTGAAGGATTTGCTAGTCATGTGGAGGATCTGCTAGTCATGTGGAGGATCTGCTAGTTATGTGGAGGATCTGCTAGTCATGTGGGGGATCTGCTAGTCATGTGGAGTATCTGCTAGTCATTTGAAGGATTTGCTAGTCATGTGGAGGATCTGCTAGTCATGTGAAGGATCTGTTAGTCATGTGGAGGATCTGCTAGTCATGTGGAGGATCTGCTAGTCATGTGAAGGATCTGTTAGTCATGTGGAGGATCTGCTAGTCATGTGGAGGATCTGCTAGTCATGTGGAGTATCTGCTAATCATTTGAAGGATTTGCTAGTCATGTGGAGGATCTGCTAGTCATGTGGAGGATCTGCTAGTCATGTGAAGAATCTGCTAGTCATTTGAAGTATCTGCTAGTCAGTGGAGGATCTGCTAGTCATGTGAAGGATCTGCTAGTCATGTGAAGGATCTGCTAGTCATGTGGAGGATCTGCTAGTCATGTGGGGGATCTGCTAGTCATGTGGAGGATCTGTTAGTCATGTGGAGGATCTGCTAGTCATGTGGAGGATCTGCTAGTCATGTGAAGGATCTGTTAGTCATGTGGAGGATCTGCTAGTCATGTGGGGGATCTGCTAGTCATGTGGAGGATCTGTTAGTCATGTGGAGGATCTGCTAGTCATGTGGAGGATCTGCTAGTCATGTGAAGGATCTGTTAGTCATGTGGAGGATCTGCTAGTCATGTGAAGGATCTGCTAGTCATGTGAAGGATCTGCTAGTCATGTGGAGGATCTGCTAGTCATGTGGGGGATCTGCTAGTCATGTGGAGGATCTGTTAGTCATGTGGAGGATCTGCTAGTCATGTGGAGGATCTGCTAGTCATGTGAAGGATCTGTTAGTCATGTGGAGGATCTGCTAGTCATGTGAAGGATCTGCTAGTCATGTGAAGGATCTGTTAGTCATGTGGAGGATCTGCTAGTCATGTGGAGGATCTGTTAGTCATGTGGAGGATCTGCTAGTCATGTGGACGATCTGCTAGTCATGTGGAGTATCTGCTAGTCATTTGAAGGTTTTGCTAGTCATGTGGAGGATCTGCTAGTCATGTGAAGGATCTGTTAGTCATGTGGAGGATCTGCTAGTCATGTGGAGGATCTGCTAGTCATGTGAAGGATCTGTTAGTCATGTGGAGGATCTGCTAGTCATATGGAGGATCTGTTAGTCATGTGGAGGATCTGCTAGTTATGTGGAGGATCTTCTAGTCATGTGGAGGATCTGCTAGTCATGTGGAGTATCTGCTAGTCATTTGAAAGATTTGCTAGTCATGTGGAGGATCTGCTAGTCATGTGAAGGATCTGTTAGTCATGTGGAGGATCTGCTAGTCATGTGGAGGATCTGCTAGTCATGTGAAGGATCTGTTAGTCATGTGGAGGATCTGCTAGTCATGTGGAGGATCTGCTAGTCATGTGGAGTATCTGCTAGTCATGTGAAGGATTTGCTAGTCATGTGGAGGATCTGCTAGTCATGTGGAGGATCTGCTAGTTATGTGGAGGATCTGCTAGTCATGTGGGGGATCTGCTAGTCATGTGGAGTATCTGCTAGTCATTTGAAGGATTTGCTAGTCATGTGGAGGATCTGCTAGTCATGTGAAGGATCTGTTAGTCATGTGGAGGATCTGCTAGTCATGTGGAGGATCTGCTAGTCATGTGAAGGATCTGTTAGTCATGTGGAGGATCTGCTAGTCATGTGGAGGATCTGCTAGTCATGTGGAGTATCTGCTAATCATTTGAAGGATTTGCTAGTCATGTGGAGGATCTGCTAGTCATGTGGAGGATCTGCTAGTCATGTGAAGAATCTGCTAGTCATTTGAAGTATCTGCTAGTCAGTGGAGGATCTGCTAGTCATGTGAAGGATCTGCTAGTCATGTGAAGGATCTGCTAGTCATGTGGAGGATCTGCTAGTCATGTGGAGTATCTGCTAGTCATTTGAAGGATCCGCTAGTCATGTGGAGGATCTGCTAGTCATGTGGAGGATTTGCTAGTCATGTGGAGTATCTGCTAATCATTTGAAGGATCTGCTAGTCAGTGGAGGATCTGCTAGTCATGTGAAGGATCTGCTAGTCATGTGGAGGATCTGCTAGTCATGTGGAGGATCTGCTAGTCATAGGTTGATATCCAAAATTTACCATGATTATTTCCCCACATTAAACTGCCAAGCCATAACATGACTGAACTATGCATTCTTCCATGAACTTGCAAGACACTTGACTCAGATTGGTCAAACCACTATATATCAAGTAGGGCTGGGACGAGTCCAAATATGTTACCCCGGGTACCGACCTTCCTATTACCCGACCCTCCCCGGGTACCCACTGTAGGTCTCAAGAGATAGGTACAAAACGTCCAATTGGGAATAATTTGACCGAAGCCCTGGACAAAATGTATTTAGATAACGTATAAAACAATCCAGTCATTCATACACTGAAGTTGAATGAAGTTTTATGTTTATTCAAACATAAAGGTCAGAAGGAATGGGTGCATAGTCAGAAAGAAATGCGAACATTAGTGACTTGTAGTGTAACCATAGAGTTCAGGATACTTTTTGCCCTTTAACAATATATGACATGACTAACCACAGGTCCAGGTAGTCCAGTGGGTACCCAGGTCCTTCTCAGTACCCATCCGACCCGAGTACCCAAGTTACCCGTCCCAGCCCTAATGTTAAGGTGTTAAATTTCACATTTTAAACTTCATGCTGGAATTCAAACAAATCTCTAGATAACAGACCTCTACTTTGAACATACAGTATGTTTATCCCTAACTAACCCATCTATCTCTCTCTGTAATGAGCACATATACAAGAGGGACTTACACCACTTTCAGCAACATTCCAGTAATAACGTCATTGGGGACACTATGGGCCTTATATATAATGTACCTTGTGCGGAACCTTTGGTATTGGAAGCAAATGCTATAACAGTTTCCAACTTTAGCCACAAGTCCGAAAAAGTCTAGTAAAAATATTTGCGGTCTAGAAAGCTGAGTTAATAATAGTCCATACAGTAACACTAAATATAACTGAAACTGATCCAATCTTGGTCAAGTAGACTCAAACGTTTACGGCAAAGACTGTGACCGGTATGACCACTAGGCTACCCCACCACCCCATCCACACAAGGCATGACACTCACCCGCTTGCATAGGCCACAAAGTTGTCATTGGGGCTGAGGGCTGTGAGTGACAGGGGGCTGGACTCCTGCAGAAGACAATATACAATAGTGATACACACACTTCCCGTTCTCGGACTAACCATTCTTCTTCTTCTCTTGCAGTTGGAAGTATTTGTTCTTGAATAGCAGCACCATAACTGCAGTGAAACCACATCCACACAGTGCTCCTTCAGACTCACATTACACTGCAATTGAGTGTGTTGTTTAATGCTGCACTCAGCAATGTTCCAGCTATATGATGGTGGCCTGTAAATAATTGAATCTGGACAAGACGACCATCCCAGTGATTGATATTAGGAACGATTCAAGCCGTCAGGATTCGATGACACACAATCAACCAAGTCAGAGATCCTGACCACATGATCCAACAAGTCTCCTCTTACGACCAGCACAGGCCGCCAGGGATCTATTCTATCCCAGAATCCCTTGGTGCTGCAAATGAGTGACTCTACCATACTTCGATTATTGTTTCATAATTTACAGCGATATTAAGGTTAGACATAGTAGACACTGGTTCTTACCACATCGCCATAGACCACCTGTAGATGTTTGAGTGTGTCTCGTGCGAAGATGTAAACGCCGCCAGTGTTGCTGCCCAGAGCAATGTACTTCTTGGACACTGATACACATGTATACTAAAGAAAGAAGGAAAGCGGACCAAATGAGTAATAACGATGTATGTTAGGTTTAAAAAAATATAAGAATTGGTTCTCAGGCTATAACTTTTGAAAAAATAGAGCGGGTGGGCAGTTTTTGTTGTTGTTTTTTTTGGCTTGTTCAAACTAGTATGTAACCAAATAAACAGTTGTGTACCATCAACCTGGGAAAGGGCCTCCCTACATAAACAAGCATACAAACTCCTATTTCTGCTATGACCTTAACACGAGATGTGCAGTAAAGCAGTGCACATGTAAGGGGAAGTAACTGAGTGCAATATTGGATTGCATTGTGTTTAAGTATTAGGATTATTGGGTTTTTTTAAATGTTAATAAAACCAAAATGTACGGCAGACTATGATGATGCAGGCGGTGCCTGAGAACCAAGACTATTATTTTTTTAGCCTTAATCATCTATCATCCAGCATATAATATCTCCATTCTGTCATGACAAATGCCCTGGATCTATGCACCACCACAGCTTTGTTGTGAGTCAGGTTTCAATAACATGGCACCAAAATAATACACTGTTGATACATTTTGCTATCATCATAAAAACAAACGGCTTTATCCTCAGTAGTTGGCTAGCCATGTTGTCCACTGGCTCAAATACAAGTGGGAACATTAAGAGGCATAAGGACTTCACTCCCCTTGTCTTGTTAAGAATCAACTTCAATATTTTTTGATGTTATTGAGGTATAAATATAACAGTGTGCACACTGTGTAAATACTTTCAGTTGTTGAAGTCAATTCATATGAATAAATGAGTATGGTTTTACGCCGCTTTTAGCAATATTCCAGCAACACCACAGCAGGGATACCAAAAATGGGCTTCACACATTGTACCCATGTCAGGAGTTGAACCTGGATCTTTGGAGTGACGAGCGAACGCTTTAACCACTAGGCTACCCAACCGCCATCAATTCATATGAATAAATATGTCCCAATAATAACTGCTCATAAATGATTAACACAAATGTAACTGTTGACAATACAAAACTAGTGACATCTTTCAGCACAATAATGTAACACAAGTCCCTCCATCCTCTCATCAGCCAGTTAGGAAACAACAGGCCATTAGCAGGTGGGTCTAATGTATTGTTTGGTTTATGAAAACAAACATGAAAATGCCACCGAATCACCTGCAATATATTTATATGCTCGAGAAACGACTTTCCCTGCAAAAAGTTCAATCTGGATATTCTCCATAAAATATTGAAGGTTCACACGTAAATAAATTTAGAAGTCTTGAAAAGTCCTCATTCCTGAAATTTGTGCAATATGGTCAGTAATCCACAAGAAAGGGTATTTTCACAATGTAATTTGACATGCATATCGGGCATGTATGTTGTGATGCATTAATGTTTGAATCCTTGTATAGGCACACGAATCATGATTAGGACTGCACAGTATTATCAGTTTTCCGGCATACTGAGATACGTTTTTCAAATGATACCTATTTCAATATTTCAATATTTTCTTCTGTGTACAGGTATATTGGGTTATGAAAAGAAAACAATTTTCGTTAATATTTGTACCATTGATCCTAAAATCTACACAGAAATTCATTCACAAATGATATTTCCCTTAAAAAATAATAATTGAAAAAATGGCAGAAACACAAAAGTATTATTTCTCTCACGTTGTTATCTCCCCTGTATCCATGACTACAAAATGGTGGTGACAGACCATGCTGACTATGACACTGTTGCACTATGATCTGCATGTACAATTAGTGTCAATCCTGTCAAACACCTTAGCTCCCAATATATCGCAATACATACTGCAATACATATGCCAGTATCGCAATACATACAATAGCTACGCGATAAATTGCAAAGAACAATGAAGAATGAAGCGTGGTTTATTTCACAATAAAACATTGTTCTATCATGCTGTCATTTCTGGAGATTCAAACTCGTAAATTTGATGATGTCGTAAATTGGATGACATTATTTTTGAGAGGGAAGTGTCCAGTGAGTTGTTCCCCATAGATGTAGGTGGGTAATGTAGATTAACGCAATGCCTGAACGATCGGATTCAAATGTGGGAGAGATATGACAATCTGTATTGTGAAAAGGGACAGATAATCAACATGAAAAATGTGAGAATATCCGGGAAATACCAAACATAACCCCCATGTTCATAAAATAGACTTGTCTCTTATTGCCGAGGTCGGATTGTATGCAGGGAGTCTTCATTATTTAAATATTGGTAAATATTTTGTGAAAGCTTGTACATATTATTAACTTCCTTGCAAAGGCTGTACAAAATGTTGATATCTCATATATAAGAAATAAATGACTCGCCTCTGATCAGAATTACAATACAGTAAAACCTATTTCAACAGAAGGTCAGATCTGGTTAATCACACTTCCAATAACAGATTAAGGCCAAACCCGCAGTCTTGCTGAACGTTGCAGAGGAGCTTCAAGGGCACCAAGGGGGGACAACTCTGTGAGGACATGTGACCAACCACCAGAGGCCATACTTCTGCTGCCAACTCTCTCAGCTCAAACTGTAATTGAAGTATAGAAACACATTCAAACTGTCTGACAAAACTTATAAAATGTAAATCCTTCAATGTAATAAGCGCCCCGCTCTTATAAGCGCCCATGGCAATATTTGCTAATATATTGGCTAGTGAAAAATCCCAATTTGCACCCCTTCTGAATGATCAATGTACACAAGACTTATTTATTTGTGTATAATACACACATGTGTGTTATATGCACCCTTTATTATGGGAAATTAAATTCTCGAAAATATATCTATCGTTTATAATACACTCAGATTCTTCCTTTGTATCATTTCAGGCTGTCATCATAAATCATGAAATTTACAATCTTTCAAATCTTATTTTTTCTCACCAAAATTACCGTATTCGACGTAATAAGCACCCAGGGCGCTCTCAAAATTAGAATATTATTTTGGTGAAAAAAAAGTTGAGTTGAAAGATAAATTTCGTGGTTTATACTGACAGCCTGAAATGTTTATGTACGACAGATATATTTTTCCCGAATTTAATTTCCCATAATTAAGTGTGCATATAACGAGTGCGTATTATACGCGAATAAATAAGTCTTGTGTACATTAATCAATCGGAAGGGGTGCTAATTGGGATTGTTTACTAGCCAATATATTAGCAAATATCGCCGTGGGCGTTTATTAGAGTGGGGCGCTTATTACGTCGAATACGGTATATTCTAATAAGAGCCCCCTATTTCTAATTTTGAGAGCGCCCTGGGCGCTTATTACATCGAATACGGTATGTTAAGATGAAGGAGCATACTGTCGTCTTAATCTAAGAATGATCTGGGACATATTTGTAGGAATGATGACAACTGACAGAACAAGTAACATTACTGACATTCATACATTATTCTTCAAAGATGATGATATTATTTATTCTGTACTGGTGTGTTGGTAATAAACTATATTTTGATTTGATTTGGCTGCTAGTGTTTCCTTGTCAACACAAACACAATATGTCTAAGATGCAAGTTATCTGTCGATGCCAGTCAAAAAAGAATAATGACTTGTCATTCACCCTTGTCGATGTAAAACATCTGACGTGTAGCTAAAGGTTGGTGATCTTGGGGGTGTTTGTGGATGCTTCTCTAAATTCACAGCGCAAATCAGTTATCGTTCCTAAATTACCAAATATATTTTGCAGTGCATTTACAATCGCAAGCATCATTCAGACAAATTCGTTGTCAAACTTACGTGAATGTACTGGATACCGTCATTTTTGATTTGGGGAACAGGAACTGTATCAACAACTTCAGATTAAAAGAAGTCACATGGCCAGTCATGTGACGTTTATTTTCACCTTTCTCACGAGAACGATGAAAGGGAGGCAATGCATTTAAAGCGTCCATAAAATACCCCTCTGTAAGGCATTTACGCAGAAATGAACGACATGGCGTAAAGAAATTGTCCGTTTGGCTCCAAATGAGAATGATGAAATGCAGAATAAATCAAAATAGGGAATAGTCTATCAAATGTGTATCGGTACACGGCAATGAATACCCTGTACCCAAACATATTTGCTGTTTGTTATTTTGTATTATATTTGTATGTATTATCCAATAGGCAGAGGGCTCTGGTAGAACGCATTACGTCTCTTAACTCATAATAATAATGATAATAAGTGCATCTATAATCCGCCAGATTCCATTCACCAAGTGGATGCTCATAGCGCTACGCTAGCTATTATTACCCCGGTCAATGGATCAGTGAGCACTCGATTTTCATTCTCAGCTCCCTGGGGAGTATACAACCCAAGCTGCCTGTGAGGCTAAACCAAACGTCTGCGTGGCAATGATCGATAAAATATGACATGTGTTAATACTGAAAGCCGTTGAAATAACACGACACCAGCATTTTGTATAATGTGCAATCCAATTTGCATGAAGTTGAGAATCTCAAGGAATCGTCACAAACATCCCTTACTGTTGGGTCCTCTTTGCGATCTTAGTTGAGTTTTGCCCATAAACAGTAACCAAACAGTTAATGAACACGAACACATAAGTAATGTCAACGTGCATTTACACATAAGATTAATATGATAACACATGCTTCAAATAGTGATACTGAATGGAGATAACGACAAGCTTACCGTATTCGACGTAATAAGCGCCCCGCTCTAATAAGCGCCCACGGCGATATTTGCTAATATATTGGCTACTGAACAATCCATAGCACCCCTTCCGATTGATCAATGTACACAAGACTTATTTATTCGCGTATAATACGGTCTCGTGTGTTATATGCACCCTTAATTATGAGCCATTAAATTCTTGAAAAATATATCTGTCGTACATAAACATTACAGGGAGACAGCATAAACCACGAAATTTATCTTTCAACTCTGGTTTTTTTCACCAAAATAATATTCTAACAAGAGCCCCCTATTTCAAATTTTGAGAGAGTCCCGGGCGCTTATTACGTCGAATACGGTATATAGTGAATGACATTTTCCATGAACATGTTTTTGGATAGTTGTTGATTTTCGCTAAATGGAAACTAAAACATTCTCATGAGTTTATGAGTGAATATGTTATTATAAGCCGCTTTTGATTATTGTTAAATATGTTTTCGATTAAGTCTGGAAATAACCAATATTAACATGTAGTACACCATCTGATCAACAAGCTGTATTCTTCCCCGTTATCAGCATTTATATAGAATACACATACACAGAGCATGGATATTGGTAGCTGTTATATGTGGAACGGGGATTATCTTGGAGAAGTTCCCATGGTGGACCATTCGCATCATTCCGGGGCAAGGGATCGAGTTAACTGACCATAAAAGTCCAGTTTCCACTTTTAAAGTCAGTTAACTCCCTTACCTCGGGAAGATGGACAATTTGGGAATAAAGCGTTCACAATTAGATTTAGTGTTCGAATGTCCATCTTATAATACTAAAATTTATAGATATTGTATACTTCAAATACAATATGATGTAAAACTAAGCATGAACTTCCCAAAAAGTATATATTTTAATCTGATCATGTCTTACCTGTAATTGGGAAACAAATTATTGTCGGTTTCTGGAAATGAACAGGTAAATCACTTGTGAGTAACAGAAAGTGTTCGTAATTTAATCTCAAAATTATTATATTGATTCAGAGAGGATAACACATAAACAATCTTGTATATTTTTTTTATATATTATAAGATGATATAGTTTTCTTTGGCAAACTTTCTGTTTCTATTACTTCCTAAAACAAAATGTTTTAGATTCTATATCGTTATTTGGAAATATTGGAGTCATCAAGAATGCTGATTTTCTAAATTTGACACTTTGAATGAAAATAGACAAGCGACGTGTGTGTAAACTTTGAGATGATAATTGTAGCTTGTTAATAGATCTAGTTTATTTATTAAATAATTTATTTTTCAACTACATTAAAAACACACACGGTAGATCTAATCCTAGGCCCATAATGCTAAGAGTTTGATATCATAGTTAGTAATCAAAATACCGTCTGATTGTTAACCGTCCTCTAACATATACCACCCCCACCCACCCCAATTATAGTTAGGAAGATATTTGACAGAGGAACGTCATTCCCGTGTATGACCCAAGGCCTATTTCAGGATACCATTGCGAAACAATCTAACTGCTTCCTCAAAACTATTGTTACTTGAACAAATAAAAGCCGACTTCACTTCCCCAAGAAATGATTGTGTAAGTACCTAGTACCAAAGTGATAATATATAACATTGTGAAACAAACAATAATAATAAACAAAAATATCGTCACGTACTGTCAGTTAATGATTAGTGTATTCTTTCGAATTACATATGTAAGGTGTTGAAGGTAGCTAGCATTCTTGAAACTGCGGACTTCCGTTACTGATTGTCTGTTCTCGACACATGTTGAAGTTGGTTTAGTTCTTGAAATCTTCGACAGCTGTCTGGTTACATTTGTCTGAACTACTGTACATCTCACACAGAAAATAGTCATGCCCAAGAATAAGGGTAAGATTGTTTGAATCGTAACGGATATTTATGTTAGAATCGCCGAAGGAATAAAACACATGAAGGAAAGTGTAACCGCGAATCCACGTATCGTCCATTTTGTTTACAGTCAAACATTTGATTCGTCACATTTTTTCGGAGAGAAAGTCTGTTATATGTGTACAGCTGTTGAGTGAAACATCCCACAACGAAGTAGTTCATGATTTAGTTGAGTTAAGACCTAAGAGGTTACTATGGTGTTGATGGGAACATGGTGAATGACCCTTTCGACATGTTCGGATGTTCCGACACCCTTTTTTGACGTGTGTTAGTGTGTGTGTGTATGAGTAGGCACAGGGTTCATTGAATACACTATACACAAAGTAGAGTGTTGATGACCGTTTCATGCTATGTCTGTTTGAATTAATACCATGGGCGGAGTGAATGATTCTTAGATCGTGTTGATGAATCTGTTATGTATTCTGTCAATATGTCAGTCGATGACCAGTGGCTTTTTTTCACACTCGGATCACCTGTAAAATCTCTCCCAATTTTAATGAATCTTATCATAATTTCATTACCGGGAGTAGTACACCTACCATGTGCACTTCGGATTTCAATTAGCCCTGTGTGGAGTATCAAACTCATGTTGCCAGTTTGAATCTAAGCTAGGCGACAAGCTGGCTGAAACTAAGCTAGGCTATATGCCGTGAAGGTCCAGGTTAAAACCTATGCTTGTCGTAAGAGGCGACCAACAGGATTGGGCGGTCAGGCTCGATGACTTGGTTGATGCATGTGATCGTATCCCAATTGTGTGAATCGATACTCATGATGTCAATCCCTCGATTGTTTGGTCCAGATTCTTAATTTACAGACTGCGGTCATAAGGCAGGAATAATGCTTAGGGCGGCAGCGTTAAACGACATACATAGCTGGGCTAATGAGTTTATCTGAGTAGCCAACACCCAACCAGGGGACCACAAGCGCTATCACAAGTAATTAGTGCTTGTTTATCAAGTCAACAGCACCCAAATGTTTACCTTTATGGGCATGCACAATAGCCATTTTCTCCGCGACACTCAAAACTTGATAAAAATTGTACTGAGTTTCTTCAAATGACATTGGATTAATTTGTTAAAAGGTATAGCAAACACATACCCAACCTCACAGTCACCCTAAGCATCGTAAAGGGGCATTTGATCAGCAAGAGGTTCCCCCTCCCGTTTAATTTTTCTCAGTGCTCTTTCATTTAATTATCATATCCACAACTAATGTCACCTCAGTAAGATGTCTTCAGTTGTTTACTCAAGGGAGTAATCCCTGACAGGCATTTAATGTGTGGAATAGGACCGAGGGCAGCTGGCGTTAGTAATAGAACGCTGGTTTCCGGTTGTTAATTATTATTTTAATTATTCACGATGTTAATATCAAAGGTTGTTCCACACATTCAACAATTTACAGATTTATGCAATGATGTTATTTTTGTAGGATTAACAGAAATAGCAGAAACTGTATATGTATAACAGCTAAAAATCACAAGATTGATAAACGCGGCAAACATGTTAGCCAATGGAATCAGTTGTCACCACCGTGTCCTTAGCTTTAGGCCACACCCCCAAGTAGGTTTGTTTTGGAAGCCAATTATGGACTGGGTGATTTCAGCACTTTCACTTAAAATTTACATATTATTTACTTATATTATGAATTTTTCTATCTCGGAAATTGACTAAATGTATATGTGAAAATGGCATGACCGATTAATCATAGTTATATGAAAGAATCAGGTCTTCTTTTGAGTAGTATCGGATAGAATGATATTGACGTGCTAATGACTATGTTATGAATGTTTAGTACTAAAGAATCATCCTTTGTTTTGCAGGAAAGGGAGGTAAAAACAGGAGGAGGGGTAAGAATGAAAATGAGAATGAAAAGAGAGAGTTGGTGTTCAAGGAAGATGGACAAGGTAAATGTCAAACTGTATAGTCTGATTTTGTAAAGCAGTATACTTGAAGTAACCATGGTAACATTGTTTACTTGTCTTGCTGGCAGCTATTAGTCATGTATGGCACAGCATGTTGATTGGAATTTAGTTACATAAAGATTTCTAGCCAATTGTTCTTCCTTATTGTGAAATATGTTTGTGTAGATGGAAAACAATGTTATTCATTTGAACTGCTGTCCCATACTGCATCATGTAATTCTACAGTCTTGGTGTTGTCGTGAGTTGATTAGTTTTTAAAGTTCAAAAGGTAGGGCTACTTGCATTAACTCCACGACAAAGTTATGGCTAAGGGTTGATGCAAGTATGAATTTATATTTATATTATTTGTGTATTATTACACATTGCAGAGATGGAAATTAGCATTAGTCTGCTGGTCCGGACCATTTTTTAATGTTTTAGGGTTTAGTAGAAATTGAGGGGTATTGCTTCATATATGTTATCACTGTGGGCTAGTTGATGTTCTGGGTTAATTTCCACCCTGCACATGCTTGCACATTTGCTGTAACAACACATGTAACCATGGTAACAGCAGTAGGCATACTAGGCTGTCCAGTTGACATGGTTGAAGGATGAGGTATGAAATAAGGCCAGGAAGGGAACAATGTTTTCCAACAAAATTTTCCTTGGTTTACCAAAAATGATTTCTATTTTTGTGAGGAACAAAGGCAAACTTTTTAAAACAAGTTGAAACAGTCAATATATATATCTGTCTGGTAGACATGGTAAGTCTTTGGTTGTTAGGTTTGTCAAGTATTTGTTGCTGTTAGCTTGGTTAGTGAACATGGTGAATGCAAATGTCTGATTAATGATCAAATTCCAGTTGCCATGGTTGCCAGCATGTACAGGTATTACAAATAAAGACATGTCTAGCATGTCGACTCTAGTGAATGAGGTGAGACTGTCTGTTCATTTATCACTAACTTACCCGGTATGTAAGAGTCATGCAAATACATTTTCTTGTACATGTAGTTAGATCTAATTAAACTATATGTCTGTGTGCTTGTATTTCAGAGTACGCCCAGGTTACGAAGATGTTGGGAAACGGCAGACTAGAAGCATTGTGCTTTGATGGTGTAAAGAGGTTGTGTCACATCCGAGGCAAACTCAGAAAGAAGGTTAGTACATGTGTACCCAGCAACATCATGACCAATGCCACAGTTGTTTTCAGGATGTCTGACAACTGTCTGACATGTCTTTGTTAGTTTTCTAGTCCTCAATAACGTTTCCGGGGCTTTCCCAGACCTACTTAAATCTTTAGATCCTGTTTGGAAGGAAGAAGTCATTTTTAATTCACACCCCCGAGGGCTGCTTTGCTTCTTTGATGGAGTGGAAGTCATTGTTTCCACTCCCCATTGTTATGATGGATTTGATTGGTTGTAATTTGGAGTCAAGGATGCATCACATGTCATTGGTTTGAAAAGCAGTGTTATGTTGATAATTTGTTTGCAAAATTTTCAATTTAATCATCATGATCATGTATTAAGTCAAAAAACGTTATTGACGACTTGTTGATTATAAGTCTTTGAAAGGCTTTTAGAAAGGCTTTTAGAAATGTACACATGAGGAAGAGAATTTATGGAAGTCAACTTCTTTATTATGAGGAACACAGCATATTGGAGTATATGATTACTCCTTCATATATGCCCTCTGCCTCATATCATTCATTCAACTGATGAAGGAGTAAGCATTTACTCTGAAACGTTGTGTTCCTCATAATAAAGAAGTTGACATCCATAAACTCTCTCCCTTCTTGACTGTATCTGTTGCTTCCTACCATCTTCCCGAGGCAAGTGAGTTAACCGACTATAAAAGTCCAGTTTCCGCCCTTGCCGAACTAGGCTAGTATTATGGAGTTACATTTTGGCTGGACTAACGAGTCTATGCATAGTCCAATCAAAATCACACACTGAAATCGAAATCGGGTTCGTAAAGTGTCATGCAGATTTCGGTCGACTGCGGGATTTGCAAAGCATGTGCACCGCTAACTCGTCAACAGATATTTTCTAAATCTTTTCATACTTTTAATCAAGGTGCTCACGTGATTTGATGCACTTCGCGATGTAAGACTCGTTTTATCACAATATAGATCATGATTATCAATCAGATCGTCTTGACTGGGCGCCACCGTTTTGTTTGAAGCAAATGCAAGTGATACGAGAGGTTGAATCTGATTGGTCAATAGGAGAGTCATAGAAAGGACATAACTTGTAATAGCCACTGTTGGCTCTACGATCGAGCCCAGGAATTCCACCCTAGTTCAGCAAGGATGGAAACTGGACTTTTAAAGTCAGTTAACTCTCTTGCCTCGGGAAGATGGCTTCCTACTTACCCGCCCTATATGTGTTCATCTCATCTGTGTAGGTATGGATCAATGGTGGTGACATCATCCTGCTCGGGTTGAGAGATTACCAGGACAACAAGGCTGATGTCATATTGAAGTACACCCCAGACGAGGCCAGGAATCTAAAGGCATACGGGGAACTGCCACCCACAGGTGAGCTATATGTGGGAGTTGTATCAAGGGAGAGAACTCCTGCATCTCTGAGTGTTCATTTCTGTTATGGTTGTCAGTGAAGACAGTTCTGAAGCAAGAAGAATTGTTTTAATGATTTTTTGTTATCATTGTTGGTGATCTCACAAAGGTTTATTAATGTTGATGTATTGATCATTGTTCATGTCTTGAACACTTTTGATCAGTTTTTCTTAAATTTACATCTAGATATAGTTTCTTTTGCATGCTTATGTTCATAACTAGAGGCGGGACAATTAATCGATCCCCAAATACATCGATCTTTTTTAATTTCCGATTCTTGAATCGATTCATAATCCTGACATAGCGATTCGGTAAAACGATTCATGCTTATCAAGTTTAACATGCTTAAAACCTTTCTATGTTAATGATATTAGTATTTTACCGTTTTGTCGCGAAACGTCCCAAATTATTAGAGAGATCTCAAATGAGTCTCGTACTATCTCACCCTTTCCCACGGCCTCATGGCTGCCGAGCAAACATTCGTGCAGCCACCTGGCAACCTGAAAATTCCAGTTTGGGCTTATTTCACGAGATCAGTAGGCAAAAAGGAAGTGAAATGCACCTTATGCGAAGTGAAATCACCGTAACACGGTAACACTACAAAAGTAATTAATCAAATATGAAATGAAGACACAAAATAGTAATTTTTGAAATCAAGTCACAAAATGACACTTTTAGTAAGAGTAAAATTTTATATGACTGACTGACCAAATAAGTATGAATAAACATTGCAATTTTCCAGACAAAAAATATTCTTTTATATGGATAATTATAAAGTATTCAGTTGTATTGATTTGCTAACAAAATTTTCAATATTTAGATATTGTTTGATGTTTGTCAATATATTGTTTTTAGAAAAATATGTATTTAAATACCAACTTTCTGAAAAATTGCAATTGAATGAGTGCTTAGGGAACTTCGTTGTAATAATCATAATCAATGTCAATTTTATACATTTTAGTAGTACCTGAAGTCATGTCGTAAGTGCTGTTCCACCTTGTAATACCTGAATTGTTATAAGTGTTAAAGAGGACTTATAGCTTGCTGGTTGGTCGCACGAATTTGTTAGTTTTAAATGAGTGTTTTTGGCATTTAGTTGTTGTTAATATTCACATAAGGCAGAAACTGAACACCAAATAAAACGGAAAATAAAGGGTTTTATTTTTCGTTTTTATCTACATTCAACATGATTCTGTGAGACAAAAGATGCACCATTCTTTTAATTTAAATTTATAAATACTCAAATGTTTGAAAAAACTTATTATAAAACAAGTGATACCAGCTGAAGTAGTCAAATCATGAATTGATCGAATCAAATTGAATCAGACATGTAAAAGCGATAATTGAATTGAATCGCATTGTATGTGAATTGGCCCACCTCTACTTGTAACACTGGAATATCTTGACTTATTAGTTATTACCCAGCTTGGTCTGAAATGTCAAAAATCATATTTCTATGTTCCAAACCTTTGTGAATAGCTGCAACATTGCTGGTGTGGCGTTAAAGCAATACTCACTCGCTCACTATATTCCTGACAAAAATGGGTTTTCTGAGCCTGTTTTTGCCAGGAAAGCGACAATGAAAAATTGCTTTCAGGGTTAGAACTAAACTCAAAAGCTATACCAGCCTTGGTAAAGATAAAAATGCCCTGGTAATGGGAAAATTGGGACTGGCCCGCAGAATCTGTACTAGCCCCAGGCTTTCTGGCTGGTGTTGTAACCATGCCTTTCACTTGTTTGTGGGCCCGTGAAGACGCCGGGTTAGAATAGGTCTTCAAAAACCCATACTTGCCGTAAAAGGTGACTATGCTTGTCGTAAGATGCGACTAACGGGATCTGGTGGTCAGGCTCGCTGACTTGGTTGATGCATGTGATCGATCCCAATTGCGTGGATTGATGCTCATGATATTAATCACTTGATTGTCTGGTCCAGAGTCGATTATTTACAGACCGCTGTCATATAGCTGGAATATTGCTGAGTGCGGCATTAAACAACGAACCAACCAACCAACAACTTGTTTGTGGGAGTTAAATATTGGTCTATTGTACAGCTCTTTTAGTCAGGATCTGCCAAGTAAAGAGCTTAATGACATATTTGAAAAATATTTGAAGCAAGAAATGTCCACCTTTTGGCAAGTAGTGGAGTGCCCAGTATATGTCTGTTACGTTGGTGTGTGTCTTGACTATGATATGTTTGTGTTGCAGCTAAAATCAATGAGAACACATGGGAGGAGGATGTGGATGACAACATCACCTTCGACGACGTGGAAGAAGGGGTTGATGAAATTGATGATGTAAGTAGACGTTATGTCTTGGTAATACTGTCAGCTGGAATACTGCTGTGGCTTCTAAGACATTCATTCACTCACTCGCTTACCCATGTTACCAGCCCCATGCCCATGGGTTAAACCAATGTGATAAAAAGAGAATCTCACCCGGGTGGCGTGAAATGTCAAATATATCAACACGAGTTGATAACATCTTCTCTCTGCATCTTCTTTAATCTTTTATCTACGAGTGTTGATATGTTTGACATCAAAAGACACAAGGATGAGATTCTAGTCATCATCCAAAATCATCATTCCCAATTTTCATTTTGTAAATAGTAATAACAAGGGTAACCGCCTTCAGTGGCAGAGACATGTGTGATGTCATTTGAATGTGACATCACAGTAACTGATGGTCAACAAGGAATTGTGACACAATTTCATGATAGCGATATCTCCTTGTAGATATTGCATGATCTCATCCAAATTATATCACCTGTGAAAGCCAGTTTTGGATGATAAATGACTGTGCAGCTTGGGATTATGTCCACGAGACTGAAGGTCTGGTATGTTCAGCTCATTTAAGCATCATTCAACAAAAATGTGTTGAAAAACATGAGCCATGTGCAAAACCTTAGCAGTACCGATCAATTTGTTCCTCACTCGGTGTTATGGAAGTCTAGGAAACAATCCTGGAATGACATCAGATATTTTAATGTTTATCGAAACTTCAACACTGTCTCCATGGTCTCCTGGACATGTAATTGAGCGTTAGTAATATGAAACCAAATTTCTACTTCAATTCTAAAATTACATGCTTTTCATCATAACTGGAACAATATGTTAAGCTGGGATTACATTTTGGTCATGTGACTTCAAAGAGAGGCCAATGAGTGGGCCTTCAGAAAGACCAACTCCTGATATTTAGTTTCACCACTCAAAACATTAACATATTAATTGTCAGCAAATTGTGTTATGTAATGTATTTCTATATGGATACATGCATGATAAATACTAGGAGTACATTTGATAGGTACCAGATCCGGGGTAGAATATGTCTTCAGCAACCCATGTAAGAGGCAGCTATCAGGATCGGGTGGTCAGACTCGCCGACTTGGTTGATGCATGTGATCGTATCCTAATTACGTGGATTGATGCTCAAGATGTCAATCATTGGATTGTCTGGTCCAGACTCGATCATTTGCAGACCGCCGTCATATGGCTGGAATATTGCTGAGTGCGGCGTTGATCAACCAACCAACAAACAAGCATTTGGTTGATTGGTTCAAAATGAGGAACAAGATGGATCTTCTGTGAACATGTGGTTTAGACACCGCAAAAACAATGTAACACCAACTGCTCTCAAAATGGACACATTCAAGAGTATAATGCCCCAGTGTTTGTCTACATGGCGCAACATTGGAGGTCCCAGCCAGAAACAAATGTTATTTTCATATTTGAACAAAAAGCCTTCAGCTGTGCTCAGCATATTCAACCTTGTACAAATATTTTTATACAGTGAACATATTGTAATATCCACATCCCTACATTTATAGTTACCACACCAAACACAATAAAACATAAGGTATCCCGGTCAGAATAGTTTTCTGGTTGTGACTTTTAGGGTGCTGTGGCTACATTACGCACAGTGTCGCCACATTTGTTGTCCATCATGTCCTGATTAGCCTATATTGTTGCTCCTGCTGTGAGCAAATGGTCTGCCTGTGTTTCTTACATTCTGTGACTAATGGGATCGGGTGGTCGGGTTCGCTGACTTGGTTGATGCATGCCATCGTAAACCAATTGCGTGAATTGATGCTCATGGTGTCCATCACTGGATTGTCTGGTCCAGATCCGATTATTTACAGACTGCCGTCAATTTAGCTGGAATCTTGCTGAGTGTGGTGTTAAACAACACAAAACAGAGAAACAAATGCTTATACCCCTGCCATCAGCCAATGGTCTGCCTGTCTCGGTTACTTACATCCTGCTATCAGCCAATGGACTGCCTTTCTCAATTTATTATGTCCTGCTATCAGCCAAGGGTCTGCTTTGTCAATTACAATGTGGGTACAATGTGTGAAGTCCATTTCTGGTGTTCCCTGTCGTGATATTGCTGGAATATTGCGAAAAACGGACGTAAAACCAACTCACTCACTCAATTTCCATAACCATTTACGTCCAGTTTCCACCCTTGCCAAACTAGGCTGGAATTTCTGGGCTTGATTGTAGCACCACCTGTGGTGAGTTATGTCCCTTCTACATCCCTCCTATTGACCAATCAGATTCTGCCTGCTTCCAACAAAATGGCGGCGCCCAGTCAAGATGATTGGATCGATAGTCATAGGCTATATTGTGATTGCAAAGTGCATCAAATGACGTTGGCACCTTGATTAAAAACATGAAAATATTTGGAAATTTGGGTTAACGCCAAGTTGGCGGTACACATGCTTTGCAAATCCTGCAATCTACACGGCAGTTTATTAACCGGATGTCGATTTCGTTATGTGATTTTGATTGTACTATGCACAAACTCGTTCGTCCAGCAAAAATATAACTCCAGAATTCTAGCCTAGTTCGGCAAGGGTGGAAACTGGACTTTTATAGTCAGTTAACTCTCTTGCCTCAGGAAGATGGGCCTCATCTATCATTTGAAGAAATTCATTATCCCTATCACATTAACTTGAGGTATGTAAGGATTATTCGCTTTCAGTTCTGGACTCTAATAGATGGAGAGTCAATGGCTTTGAGCAAAAGTAATAGATGCCCAGGCTTCTAATAGTGAAAATACAGCATTTGTATTCCCAGCACTTACAGTAGCTTGTTCATCCTTGTAAGCTCCCTGCAGTGCATTGATCTGTGGAGGAGTTCTCCAGAACTGGGGCATTGCTTTTAAGTAAACGAACCTTGATGGCGGCAGATTTCCTCCATGCTGGCAATAAATCAGATAAACAGTGTCATATGTAGCCACGTGTCATTGGGTGTTTCTGATACGATCTGGAATGGTTTGGATTTTTACATCGTTTGTGGTGGTTAAGCCATTTGATTTAAATATTGATGAAATTGTTGTGATACTCTTCCTGCTCTGTGAGCTAACAATACTCTCTTGATGATTTAGTGACAGAACGTCCTGTTGCTGATGTAGCATTGAAAAGCAGTGGAACCCTGTGTTATACATATCATATTACAAGATTTGTTTTACAAATTGTCTTTGTCATCCTTCTTCCACACTAGTGGATTATGTAGCGCATTGAAGAAGTCCATGCTTGCACAATGTAATTTTGTAGGGAAGTTGTTCAGATAGACAGAACTGTTGCACATTGTTGCTGATAATTAAAGTTCATCAGCTTGAGGGGTGGTCAGGAAGCCAAGTTGTTAAAGCGTCCCCTCGTCACGCCGAAGACCTGGGTTCGATTCCCGAGATGGGTACAATGTGTGAAGCCCATTTCTGGTGTCCCCCGCTGTGATATTGCTGGAATGTTGCTAAAAGCTGCATAAAACCATACTCACTCAGTCAGTCATCAGCTTGGTCAGTGGTTAATTACAGTGTTCCCCATATTCCGGTAATTACCAGTTTTTTAAAAAATCTGCGATAATCAATAAAATATATATTTCGAATGTGGTCAGCTTGTCTTTGATCATCAGGGTTTTCCCATTGTCTATTTTTAGTGCAAGAAAATAACTTTTCGCTTTGCTCATGTTGCTATGAGGTTAAATATCTTATTTTCAAACCAAAATGAAATCTTGAAAATAATGTAACCAAGTAAATTTCTTTTTCTTTTTTTTATACCTTCAAATTTGGGACTGACAAAAATTGAAGTGGACTGGTAGTTTTTAGAGTTGCCTCTCCACTGGGACTGCCAGTATCAAATGTCAGTCGGAACACTGTGATTATGGGTTTGATTTACTGTTTATGGGCTGCCAATTTTTTAACTATATTTAATTTTCTGTTTCAGATTTAGGAAAACCTCACTGCAGCTGTCAAAAGTTGAGTGTTGAGAAGAATCGGTGATGTGTTTGGAATACTGAAGTAACATGACAATAGCAGCCTGTAACCTGTAATGATGGCTGTCGCTGCCACAGGGACATCACAGATTCGTTTCTCTTGTTATTGTCATGGCAACTGTACAACTCAGATTCAAACAATCTTCATGAAGCCTTCTGATATCTTTGAAGAGGGACTTTACAACGTCAATCCATCCCTGACAGATTTGAATCATAGTCTGTCTGGATTACCGGATGGTTTAGGATTATGAATATACTATTTTTAATGTCAATATAGAACATCTTAATCTTTTGAAAAAAAAATTGTTTGTGTGTCTGTGTATTTTCATTTTTATTTTGAAATTCTTTCATTTCATATTTGTAAGTCTTGTGTACCTTTTGATTAAGTTTGGAATATTTGTTTTCTTTCTTTTGAAGTTTATGTGTGCGATTTGTTTGTAAAATCGTGATTAAATCTGAGTATAGAAGATAACACCTGAGGCACTTCTCTTAGTTTCACTTTACAGTCTGTTTTATTACACAAAAGTTTTGTAAGTTTAAACATGCTCATATAATATTTAAAAGTGATTCGTGTCATGTTAATAGGAAACAAAATAATGGGTACCAAAACAGTAATTGATAAAAATAAAGAAGAAAAAAAAATATAAAGAAAAAAAATGTTAAAAACCTGACATCTTATTTATTACAGCAAAAGTGCTTGTTAGAATCAGATGATATTCAGTACCACCAGATTGTATTAATAAAATTGTATGACCCCCATGATGATAATGATGGTATATCCCTGGTATGGAGTATGTGTGTCCGGGATGTTCCATTGTTTTCATGGGGGTGTATGTGTGTATGATATAGCTATTAATTCCTGTATTGACTGGAGAAGACTGTACAGGTTATTCCCTGATGTCTATACCTGTTTGTATATAATGGTTGGGTGTTACTTGTAGCATGTTTTTATGATTGTCATGTAGGCAATATGAGTGGCACATGATATGTAGTTGGTAGCTTTAAAACACTTATATATCCCAGCTACAACATTTCAGATCAAGGGGAGGTTTACAGTTTGCTTGGTTCAGAATTTTGTCACAATACAGAAAAAAAGATAATGTTGATTTATGGAATAATAAATTAATTTCATCCACTAATAACTGCAAGCTTTTGGCTCAGGAGAGAGCTGCCAAGTTCACTCTCGTTCTTGAAAGTATTTTTATGAGGCAGATGTTTTATTCAACTCTTTAGGTGATTAAATGATGTAAATTCTAACTGTTTTTTGTTTTACTTGAGATGACCAAGTCAAGGGACTCCTGGAATAAGGTTGCCATCACCATTGTTTGAAGTAGATGCGTAAATCATTTCATTTGTATCTGACAACTTGTCTCAAATGTCTGTGTTTATCAAGCAACCCCTGTGTAAACCCTGGCTGCTTAATTTGTCTACTGCTGTCACATTTTCTTTCCTCAGCCATAAGCTCACTATAAAGGTTAAGGAATTCCTGAGCCATTTCTAACATAGGACTGGCTGGCATCGAAGAATTTCATTTTTAGCACCAGTAATGGTCTGTGGCTGTCTGTCTAATCCCTAAGCCATGAAGGTTAAACCATCTTCTGCCCCATTGAGGGTCAGTGTGTCCATATTCTCACAACATGTTTGTATGAGCTAATTTAATTGACTTAGTGGCCGTATTGTGGTTTAGTGAATAGGGTGTCTGCCACAGAGCGGAATCCCTCATCATACTCAAAATCCCTCAAAAGACGTTAGAAGGTGGTACTTGTTGTTACCCTCTTATACCTTCAGAAGATAAAACTGGTCGGCTTGTAGTTGGAATACTGTGAGTAGGGTTGCCATGTTTAACTGTGTTTGGTATCGCAGTGGACAAGCACGCACGCACACACACAGTGCATGCAGGTCACAATACAAGTGAAACACATTGAACCCCTTTTCACCTCACTGAAGGGGGCACGGGTGGCCCAGTCGTCTCGCTGTGCAGAGTTGCGTCCCTTGGGCACGCCAGAAACCCATGATTGTGGGTTCGAATCCCGGTTCGCTTCGAATATGTTTCTAGGTTTGTCAGCACCATAACCCTGCTGGCGTGTTTCACCGAAGTGGTGGCCCAGTCGTCTAAGGCGCCGCGATTCGCTCGTGGGTTTCACCGAAGTGGTAAACGTCTGAGACCTGCATCACTTCGGGCTTTCCTCCCATATTAAGCTGACACGCCGTGATATAATTGGAATACTGTTAAAATCGGCGTTAAACCCAACTCACTCACTCACTCAACTTGATTGGAGGTAGCTCCTAAAGTATTGTGGGAAATGCTAGAAAACTGCTTTTTGCCTGTTATAAAAAGGATATAATTTTTCACAGACTGTTGTCATTGAAATATCCAGTAACTACCGATCGACCTACCTGTGGTTTGAAGTATTTCAGACACAAGGAGTCCTATCGACAAGTTTACAGGAGACAAATTCAAACTAAAACAGGAAGTTTTCATTCATTTTAAGTCCAATGATGGCAGTCTGAAACGAACTATAGAATTATGCGCACGTGACCTCGTTCTAATGATAATAACGCAGTCCAGATAAAACATCTAATCCACACACAAAAATCATTTTGAGAAAATTCTACATGTGCACCTTCTAAAATGACAAAATGACGCTGCGTTTTTTATTATTTAAAAACATTGCTCCCATGATGCATGTTACATTACACTTGCAAAGCCATATATTTGGTACAGGACATGGAGTCTATACTTGGAAATGTATTCAAGTTCTTTACACTTTACAGAGACAAAGGGATACCATTTATTCATTCAGATAGGGTGAATTACCTAACTGCCCAAGCTATGGGGTTTTCACTTCATACCACCAAGTCTACGGTATGATAAATAAAACAAGACCGGTATAGGGGGTGGTCTCAAAACAAAACTGGAACGCAAAGGATATTAGCTTTGAAAAAGGGTGATTAGGCGTATAGTGTACAAGCTTTATGAGCAGAAGGTAACCCTGACTTGTAGTAGAATTTGGGAGGAAATAAAGATACAATTAATGTTAACTGCACTAACTATTGCCCTCCAAGAGATGGGATTTCGATACACTGCGCGTGGCGATGACCGAGCGCTTTTCAAGGGAAAATATTCCATTCTGTCTATGAGGTCACATTATCTCCGAACCATTCATAAATATCACAGTCAGGGAGTCCAGATAATTTACCTTGATGAATCATTCCACTGACTACATGTGGCTATCGGCAGATAGACAAAAAGCACCCATAGACCATCAGGTAACGGTAATCGTGTCATTGTTTTGCACGCTGCAACCCATGATATGGGGCTTACTGATGGATGTGTGCTAGCTTTCGAGGCGAAAAAGAAAACTGGTGATTTTCATAAGGAAATTACAGGAGGTTATCTGTTCATAGACTGGTTGGAACTTCAGCTACTGCCCATTTTAAACAAAGTCAGTGTCATTGTCATAGATAGCGCCAGTTAATATAACGCCCGGGAATCAGATGCTGTCGCCCAAACCATGAGTAGTCTGAAGGCAACCATTCAGGAATATATGACATTGTCGACTTCAGACCATATGAAACGAAAGTTCAACTCATGGAGAACAGGACACATGTGCTGGCGGCACAACACGGTCACGTTGTCTTACGTACGGCAGTCAGACATTGTGAGCTCAACCCTGTTGTGCCTATCTTGGGTAAGTTTAAAGGGTTCGTGGCAAGACATAACACAACATTCAAAAGTACAGATTCATATACGTCATCAGCGGAGATAAATGCTACCTCAAGAAATCATCTGTAGAACAACAAATACTTCTGGATTCCAAAACCGCAATCTTCCAATACTCGTCCCGTTTCATAGCTCTTAACTAGTCCATCGTGTTTCAAAGCAAATATAATGCAGTACATATCCTAAATTGCTACCCTACCAACGTACATGTCCGTTAAGTACAAAAACAGCAATATTTTGAGACCACCCCCAACTCGGTGACATTTGCACCTGTATGAATGCACGGGACGGTGTGAGGTCATCACCCCGGGAAAGGTGTTAAATAATTACCTCAGGTTATAGGCCATTTCATACACGCATGACAACACACCAATATTTTCTACGTTTATCATCATTTTACCTGTAAAAGTACATTTTAAGTTTAATCACAGTGTCAGTTAGGACAGGCTAGATTAGGGCAATTTGCGTTATTTTGATATATGCTCTTTTTATAGTCCTATGACTCGTATTTATTAAAGGTAGCCAGAAAAGCAGTTTTCTAGCATTTCCGTCTGTACTTTAGCAGAACAATGTGATGACATCACGGGAGGGTCATAAGATAAAATGCAGCTGTGTAGTAATACCGTATTTCCTCTATTAGACGCCCGGGCTTCTATTTATTTCGGACAAGCCTTTGACCCGGCGTCAATTAGAGGCTCGGCGTCTATTGGAGGCCCGGCTTCTATTAATACCCCCATTTCACTATGACCACGAATGTCCCGAATCGTCAAAGAAAGAAAGTCCTCATTATGTAATTTAGGTCCCCAAAAGGGATCATTAATTGTATCAATTGATCGACCCGGCGTCTATTAGAGTCCCGGCGTCTATTAGAATCCCGGCGTCTATTAGAACCCCTGCGTCTAATAGAGGAAATACGGTATACATCAAGACCCCTCAACATCAGCATGACAGAACACCACAGATTAACCAACCAAAAGCCTTGATTTGAGGCTACACCCAGCACATCCCCAGCCCCAGCGGAACCAGTGGACCACATACTGGAGTACATTACACTGGCATCTGATAAAACTCTCTCAAGTATTGCTAGCACACTGATGTTACATTTATCCAGTGTAAACCAAGACTATAATTTAATGAAATCGACGCTGTATTGCAAAATACGGGTTTAAGTTACATTCGATAATCTCGAACGTTTTCCTTCTCGTCACGGCTGAAACAGTTATATCAGTTGTGATTTATCAGTTTTTAACAAAGTTGGATATATCCTTGGAGCTAATGTTATTACAATCTAAGCTACATTTTTTATTGGAATGTTCCAATTTGCTACCCACTAACTCCCGTTAATATCCTACCACTTTTTAAATGTCATGTGATTTCGAACCCATTCTAGTTACACCTGTAAACTGTGTTTCACAGGTGTGCCTATCCGCCATGAGAAGCATGCCATCCACGTATAGCCTCTCTGTATCACTGTTGTGATTCACGAGGAGAAATCGTCTCCAACCTGAATCAGTTGGGTGTATCCCGTCATGGTATTGCTGGAATATTGCTTAAAACCATACTCACTCAAACCTAAAGTCGTAATATTGCTGGAATATTGCTTAAAACCTGCTCACTCCAACCTAAAGTCGTAATATTGCTGGAATATTGCTTAAAACCATACTCACTCCAACCTAAAGTCGTAATATTGCTGGAATATTGCTTAAAACCATACTCACTCCAACCTAAAGTCGTAATATTGCTGGAATATTGCTTAAAATCATACTCACTCCAACCTAAAGTCGTAATATTGCTTGAATATGCTTAAAACCATACTCACTCCAACCTAAAGTCGTAATATTGCTGGAATATTGCTAAAAGCGGCGTAAAACCATACTCACTCACTCCAACCTGAAAAACAACACCATCAGAACACTTACAGAAACCTTGGTCTAGGGGATAGAGCGTCCGCCCGGAGAGCGGAAGGTCTAGGGTTCGATCCACGGCCGCGTCATACTAAAAGACGTTTAAAGATGGTACTTGTTGTTACCCTGTCTGGCGCTCGACATTAAGGGGCTAAAACAAGGACCGGTCGGCTCGGAGTCAGTTTACTGTGTCTGAGTAGGGGTATTCATGTTAAACTGCGACATGGTATCTCAGTGAGCTAGCACTATAAATCTTGTTAGGTCCTACATGTACATTTTTTGCTTGGTTCACAAATCGAAAACTCAGAATGATATTTATATATTTTCCGTCCACGCTTAAGATCTCTTTGACAAATACATAAAAGCGACCAAATATGCCAAAAACTGAGACGATTTACGATTTCGACTAGATCGTGACCATGTGTTATCAAATAGTTATGATACCAGGTGTTCGCGGAAATATCAGCGTATCCTGCCCCATCGGTGTCACAAACACATGCATCTCAAGGAATTGTTCACATGAAAAAAACATGGAAACATTACAAGTCAAGATAATGAACTGAATCGGACATCATTTTTGTCACTGATGCGTCAAAATTTGGAAATGTCCTCCACATGTCTACCATAGA